GAATCTTCAATACATCCTTGATTTTCGGTGAATTTTAAGGAAAGATGGCTAAGAATGTGAAAAGAATAGGTATGAGTGTGTGTAAGTGTTGGCACACATACAGTACGCCCACTCCCTGCCCTCCAAGGCTTAATCGTTAGTTGTATAGACAGAGGTATCTATATTTATGAAAAACCAGACAAGTTAACAACTCAACAGATGACCCAAGCAGTTTGTAATTAAGTTCTGAAACAAAAATACAGCCAAATGCTGAGCTTTCACAAGAGAGAAAGATCATTGGTGGATGCAAGTAAACTCCCTAAAGGATTCCGCTGAGCCCTTGAGTAAAAGCTGAATCTGGAGAGGTAGAGGCAGTGTGTGAGGCAGAGGCAGAGAGTGAGAAGGAGGAATTGGGGATGTTGTATTTGGGGAATGATAATTTTATCAGCACTTAAGGGTGTCTCGTGCCAAGCACTGTCCCGAGTGCTTTGCATATATTAACTGTATATATGAGTAGATACAATGACTAACTCCATTTTGCTGAAGAGAAAGCCAGGGCAGTAAGAGATTAGTTAAATTGCCCAAAGTCATATAACTCCTTAGGGCAGTGGTTCTCAACCTTCTGGCCCTTTAAATACAGTTCCTCATGTTGTGACCCAGCCATAAAATTATTTTCATTGCTACTTCATCACTGTCATGTTGCTACTGTTATGAATCGTCATGTAAATATCTGATATGCAGGGTGGTCTTAGGCGACCCCTGTGAAAGGGTCGGTCGACTGCCAAAGGGGTCGCGACCCACAGGTTGAGAACCACTGCCTTAGAGGTAAAGGCGGTTATCCAAGCCAGGCAGCCGGAGACCTAATAGTTAACTTGATAAGGGTAAGAACCGGGGCTGTCTCACACTGTAGCCACCATCACTGTGCTGGCAAGCCCTTGAAATGTGACTAGCCTAAACTGAGGTGTGTTCTAAGTGTAACATACACAGACTATGAAGCCTGAGTGTGGAAAACACAGTAAAATGATATCATGTGTCAGTGAACATAGATTGCATATTGAAATGGTAATACTTTGACTATTATGTTACATAAAGTGTTATTACAATTATTAATTTCACCTAGTTTTCAAATATAGCTGTTAGTAAATTTTTTTTTTTATAGGGTGGCACTTGACCCCCAGGGTGACCTTTCCTCCCCTAGCATATTGCTGGTCATGGTGTTTAGATCTCCTGTCCTTTCATACCACTGGTTATGCAGTTTGGACCCTCCCCTGACCTTTAATTTTAAATTACTTGTGTGGCTCGCATGATATTTTCCTTGGATAGTGCTGCTAACACCTGCCCACCAGTAAGGGAAGAGTCCAAGTGGAGAAAAAGAAAGAAGGGTGATGGATGGTAGGAAAAGGATGTTTAGGATCAGATTTTATTGGTATTCAAGTTTATCTTTGAAGCTAGTGATCTGCCTCAGATTCGTGGGTGGGTCCAACCCCGAAACTTCAGTCATCCCTAATTCATTACTTTAATCTCGTCCTTGCCGAGATATTAGGGCTACCTGGAGAAGGAGGGTAATCAGCAGAAGAGACTAGCTCTGGCTGTATGAAGGCAATGAATGTGAATGCCATTTTCTTAATTTTCTGCTCAATTCCATTGATTTGGACTTCAGCAGCCTGCAAAACAGTGTCAAATGATTTTAACAGAAGTCAGGAGGCTGCAGAAATTCTATCACTGGCACTGCATAGAAATAGCCACAAAGGTAGTGCACAGTTTGCAGGCGGTTGTTTTAAAATGTTTCCCATTGTTAAGACGACTAGAATTTGGAGTGCATTTTCTTATAGTATTATAAAGAGACTTGGGATTCTAGACGAGCCTTCAAAAACATCTTTAAGCTACCCGAGTAATAGCTTTGTTTCACCTTCCTTTAACCTCTGTTTGTACCGTGGCCTCCTTGGAAAATGTATTCCTGCGATAGTGGGAGATGCCTGATTAAATTCTTTCCCACTTCTTAATAGAAACTCCCCCGTCAGGGGCATGGAGAAATGGCTAAGCTGTCATAAACACAGATAGCTTGTATAAAAGAAAGCATTTTTTTTCAAGGTTTTCCTCTTCCTGGATGTGTTGAATTGTGGCATAAAGAGATGTTGGATCTCTGCAGGGGCAGGAAGTCCAGATTGCTGCTGTCTTCTGTTTGATCAGATGAGTCATCTGTGAATTGAGTCAGGTACTTTTAATGCCAGGATGGAGGAGAAAGAACACAATTTTCATGGTTTGGTTTTGTACAGCGTTCAACAGAGGTAATGTGCACAGACTCATCTGTTTGAAGGCTTATTTGCTTTTGTATCTCCAGCGTTTAGCTCAGTGCTCAAGACAGAAGAGATGCTGTGTTTCATGGATGGATGGATGGATGGATGGATGGATGGCTAGTTGACCTTCATGAAGTGCTATACATTCTGCATGGTTTTCAAAGATTGTGGTAATTTGATGAATACATTATTCTTACAGCAATTTACAAATTGAATCTTTGCCAAGACCGGTTTGGCTCGGTGGATAGAGCGTCGGCCTGCGGACTGAGGGGTCCCAGGTTCGATTCCGGTCAGGGGCATGTACCTCGGTTGCGGGCACATCCCCGACGGGAGGTGTGCAGGAGGCAGCTGATCGATGTTTCTCTCCCATCGATGTTTCTAACTCTCTATCCCTCTCCCTTCCTCTCTGTAAAAAATCAATAAAAATATTTTTAAAAAAAAAATGAAAAAAAAATTGAATCTTGGATTTTAGAGTGATGCACTTTGCTAGTTACTTTGCTTTTTCATAGCAGAGCCCGTGAGTTTTCTAAAACTGTGCAAATGGATGGCCTAGATGCCACCAGCCCCACAATGAGGCAGTTGTTTTTGGTGCAATGGAAAAATTAGCAGAATAAAGAGATTACCTAACCGAATTAGGTTGCCACAGAACAAACTGTAATTTTCCAAGGTATACACACAAAAAAACTGCAAATCTCAATTTCCAGGAAATGTTTCTATATTAAAATAATAACCATTCTTACTTTCGACCTTAACCGTAAGCCCCACTGTTTCTTAATGGTATCCTTCTTCATAAGCCATAGGAGAATGAGTATACCGGGTAACAGAATACTTGCAGGCATGGGCTTTGGAACTCAGGCCACCTGGACTCAAACCCCACTCCACCACGTAATCCCCTGTGATGGTGGTTAAGCTGTGTAAACGAAGCGATCTGTTTTTCTCATTGTAAAAGGGGGATGATACAGGATCCTTGTGGAGCTTTAAGTGAACTAATGTCTAGAAAGCACTTAGGCACATAGAAACTCGGCATACGTGTCAGTTGTTATCCGATAACCCCTGTATGCGCAATGCGTCTGCTTGCCTCTTTGCCTTTGCTCAAGCTGACCTTCTTCTCAAGTCTATCCGCAGGGTTCCTGGCCACTTTTGAAGGACTTAGTTTAAGATGACTCCTCACTATGTTTTTTTCATCTCTCTCACTGCCTCATCTGGTTCCCATAGTAGTCAGTTACAACACTCAGCATGTATTATAATTATATGTTTGTCCCCTACACTAACTACACTACAAATTCTTTAAGGAGTGTGTTTGTATTTTGCTCTGCTCCTGCTGCCCGTGGTATTTAGCAGAACATTTGTTGCACTGTTTAAGGGACATGTATTTGGAAACCTTTTGTAAATTGTACACTGTTAATCAGAAAATAGTGCTCCTTGAGGACTTAATATATACCTAGCAATGTGTACTCAGAAGCAGTTACTTGGTATTTAAATCCCAGAGATTTAAGAGAGTATTATTACCTTGAAGCTAATTGAACAATGATTCCAAATACTAGATTGTAACATTCTTTGCCATCTAGACCTAATCGATTTTAACAACTTGTGAAACCTCATAGATGGGAAAGATCTATTTCCTTCCTACTGGTAGGCATACTAGATATCAGGTTCAGTCCATCTTTTAATTGATTCTTCCCTTTAGATTCTTAAAGCTGGTTGGTTTCAATACAGTATTTTGTTCATATTTTATAGTGTTGTAATGGCTAAATCTTGAGGACTAGCACTGCCAGCTTACATGTTGGGCATTGAGGACTTTAGTGTGCGACCTGGTTTACATCGTATAACAGCCCTACGAGATGTAGGTACTGTTGTTTTCCAAGCTTTTAGTGTGAGAGAACTAAAGCTTGTAGAGGTGGGTAACTTGCTCTAGGTCACAGAGCTGGTAAATGCTGGATCCAGGCTAAGAACCTAGGCAATCTGATTTTGGGGCCTAAACTTATCATTCATCTATTGTTTGACTCAGAGTAAATGATTTAAAAAATGATAGTTTTATTCCTTCTTTCTGATGGGATACCATAAAAGATAAATTCAAAAATACTATATAAAAACATGTAACATGAACAATGTAAGGAATCATACTCTCCAAACATATAGGATTTTTAATTCCTTGTTATAGTGTTCGTTGAATATCTTATTTTAATCCACGAAAATGTTCTCATGTGTAAGAAATCACAGAATATCAGAAAAAGGTAGAGAATAGTAGATCTGTCATTTCAATACTTAGTTTTCATTGATACCTTGTCTTATCAAAAAATAACTCACTTTTTAAGACATCTGTGTAAAACTTTAGGCATTTTTGTCACTGTGTATATTTAATTTGTCTTAAGTAACAAATGCTGTCATTTTGAGATTTTTTTTAAAGTCACCGTTGCAGTTTGGTTTAAATGTGGACGCCCAGTATCTTAAGATCCAAACAACTTGCACAGTTATATTATGACATAGATTTGGAAATTTAGGTCATATGTTTCCTGGTTATTATTACATAAGCAATATCCTGATATAATATAGTTTACCGTCATTTTCTTCCTTAACGTCAGCATTATACTAGTATTTATATACTATACATCTATATAATGTTTACTGTCTATCAGGGTTGGCTTTATTATGTTTAGAGAAAGTGTTTTAAAACACTCTAAGCTCTATATTTCCTGTAAGTACTTTTCATCTGTTTTAAAACAGGTAAATCAGCGAACTGGGAAGATGATGGGTGGGGAGCATGGGAGGAAGCGGAGCCGGCTCTTCAAGAACCGGTGAGTCTTTATCACTGCATGCACGCACTTTGATAGTGGCATTTCCTTTTGTAATGATGGTGACACATTGCAGTGTTAGGCTGACATTTTAAAATCTTTGTCAAGAGCATTTTTGTACTTAAAAGTACTAAGTAGATATGTGTTATTTCCACTGCTCTCTATGGTTATGAACCATTCCAAAAGCGTAGCCAGCTCTAGAGACAGAACAAGAATAAGAGCAAATTTTGGCCGATGTATGAAATGCAAAAGTATATGCTGTAGCCACCTAATCAGAATGGAAACAGACAGCAAACTCAACACCTACCTTCCCTGCAAGTCTCATTATTGACTTTAAGGGCTTATATAGGTAGGCATTTTGCTATAGCTTTATGCTGGTGGAGTGACTGAATGAATGAGCAAACAGAATTCTGTTAAAATGGGATCATAGTATGCATACAATTTAAAAATAAATAGACTCGATCCTACTTGAATTGACAGTGGAAGTAAAACTGTAAGAATTACTGAATTATCATTAACTTCCTTTAACGTTAGGAAGAAAAGTTGTTTTAAAAAATTGAAATTGTGGGTTTATGTGACTAATTGTGTTTGTAAATTTTTTTTGCTGGATCACCTGTAATCAGGTTAGTAATGACATTTAGAAAGAGCCTCTTGCCTGGCCCCATTTTAATTTTTGAAAAGACCTTAGACCTTGCATCTGAGAATTGTAGTCTCTAGTGTGGAAGATGGCCTACACCTAGACCAGTACTTGTCATACTTGTGAGAGCGCTGGGGCTCCACAGAGCTGCTCTATTGCTCCTCCGCTCGGCTTTTATCTGTCTCATATATTAGTCTGTTGCATAGAATTTTGTTTTGGAATGAAAAGTTCTGCTACCTAAAAAAAAACAAAAAACACAAAAACGTTGAGATACATTGGACATTACATATGTCAATAGCAGACTGGGTGGGTGGGAGGAGACAAACCTACTTACTTAGCATTATTTACCTTTTGTGTTTCAATATTGCTGAAGCACTTACATCTCTTGGTTTAGAAAGTGTAGGTGACTATTTTATTTCTATGATTTAGATGGGAAACTGGTGAGAATTACAGTGAATCTGCTGACAGCCCCTTAATTATCCTGCGTTCTCCGCTGCAGTATGTAAACGTGAAAGCACAGTGACAGTGACAGTATAAATTGCAAATCATGGACTCATTATACTAAAGTTGACAACTTTGAAAAACTATTCCGGCAATCTGGTCACCGCAGCAGCTGAGGTACCAAAACCGGGTGCCACTCTGGTTACAGAGGGGTAATTTACCAGCCCCGGTAGGGGCCAGCTCTACTTGAAAGGCTGGTTACATCACTGCAATTTTTACCACCTGCTTCATTGTGAAAAAAAAATAATCACTTGACAAATTTGTGGGCTTAAAATCAAAAGAAAGAAAAATTTAAAAATATGTGACAGCCCTAGTTATTTAGAATGAATTCCTTTTTATAATCTAGGTTTCATAATCCATATTTGTGCACACTAAGAAAAAGTTTTGCTGCTCTCAATTCAAAGAAAACAGGTCCTTGAAGTTTAGGCCACATTTAAATAAAATTATACATTCTCTCCCCAAGCCCCAGCAGGAGTTATGCTTATAGCCAATGGGTGCATTTAATGTTCACTTTAGTAATTGGTAGGGGCTAGTCTTTGTGGAAAGCAAGGTAGTCCTGGGTGGTTCTGTTTTTGTTTTGTTTTTTAATTTCATGCTTCTCTTGGGAAATTAACTAGCTTGTCAAATGATGGTGTTGTTTTAGAATCAGCACCTTCCAGGGAGCAGTATTGGTGACTATGGGCCCGGTTACTATGGGGGAAGTTTTCAGAAAACCTAATTGGTAGGCAGATGCCTTTATGGTACAAAACAAACCGATGAGCTGGCATCTTGTCGGTGCCCAGTGTGTGCTGGTACTCACTGAACATTCTCTCTAGGGCTTTCCGGCCCACTCTCCAGCCTGGGCTTTTTTGACAAGTTGGAAATCAAGCTTTGTTGTTCATTATATAAGCAAATTAGTTCAACACTAGTTCACTGTGACCCACACTGGCGAAGGAATTTCCTTATTTCTGCTGTTCCAGGCCATTGGTGATGTTACTTGTACTTGGACTCAAAACATCTGAAACATCTGACGTGGGACAGACCCACAGTCTTGTATTATTTATTAGTTACTAGAGGCCCGATGCACGAAATTCGTGCAAGAGTAGGCCTGCCTTCCTCCGGCCACCGGCCGGCACCCGGGACCCGGGCTTCCCTTGCAGCCCCAGCTTAGTCCGGAAGGACGTCTGGTCTAATTAGCATATTATGCTTTTATTTATTAGTTTTTGTATTATTTGTCTTCTTCTGTAACCTGCTTTTGTGAACGCCTGTATGTAGTGTGCTGCCATTTGTGTTAGAAAAAGGGGGAAAGGGTAGTAAATGTATTTATTTGCATGTGCAGAAAGCCTCTCTGGAAATAAAACCAGAACTGATTGACTGGCTTGGCTCTAGAGCAGTGGTTCTCAACCTGTGGGTCTCGACCCCTTTGGGGGTCGAACGACCCTTTCACAGGGGTTGCCTAAGACCATCGGAAAACACATATGTAATTACGTATTGTTTTTGTGATTAATCACTATGCTTTAATTATGTTCAATTTGTAACAATGAAATTGGGGGTCACCACAACATGAGGAACTGTATTAAAGGGTCGAGGCATTAGGAAGGTTGAGAACCACTGCTCTAGAGTCAGCAGGGCAGCTAGAGTACAGGAGTAGGAGAGAGACTTTCCAAAACAGAGCTTTTAAGATCTGTTGATTTTTAACTCTGGGAATTCACTTATACATGAATAATTTTTCAGTGGAAAAAATGAAAAAACCTTTCAGGCCAAGTAAAAAAAAAAGTGTCAGATGAAGCAAATAGTTCACAGATCTTTACAGCCGTACTCATCAGTTCTTTTTTGCTATCTAGCTGCAGACAGCCTGGCTGTCTCTGGCATAGGATTATTACTGCATTTTCTAATACTCAGTCATTTTTGGAGTGACCCCTATGTAATATTTCTTTAATGTCTTGCGAGGTTATATTTGTTTACGTTAAAAATTTTTTGGCCGAAACCGGTTTGGCTCAGTGGATAGAGCGTCGGCCTGCGGACTCAAGGGTCCCGGGTTCGATTCCGGTCAAGGGCATGTACCTGGGTTGCGGGCACATCCCCAGTGGGAGATGTGCAGGAGGCAGCTGATCGATGTTTCTCTCGCATCGATGTTTCTAGCTCTCTATCTCTCTCCCTTCCTCTCTGTAAAAAATCAATAAAATATATTTTTTAAAAAAAATTTTCTTTGCATTAATATTCAAAGCTGAGGTTTGTATGTAGTGGACATTTTGCTGGTCATCTTTAACATGTTTTGATAAGAAATATTATTGAGACTTTATGAAATAATTGGGAAGATTTCTTGTACCTTTTTTCTTCCCCCTCACCCTTCAAGGTGGACAAGCTAAGTTTAAATAACTCTCGATATTGTTGCATATACAGTCTTTGCCATGTTACCCACAGGAAGAAGAAGGAAACACTTGCAAAACACAAAAAACTTCCTGGCTTCAAGATTGCGTTTTATCCTTGTCGCCAACCAATGATCTTATGGTGATAGCCCGGGAGCAGAAAGCTGTATTTCTAGTGCGTGAGTATCTGTTACTTTCCAGTGGCCTTCATTTTAATGCATAGACTAGAACAGAAAATGTATTAGCAAGAAAGAAAAGATGTTATTTCTATTGTATGCATTATATGGTGGCATTCGAAAGTTTGTTATATAGTGTATAAAACTTTGTATTTCTTTTTTTGTATTTCTTTGTCTTTTTCCTTTTCTTTTTTTTTGTTGTTTTTTGTTTGTTTGTTTGTTTGTTTTCCCTCTCAGTTTTTCTTTCTTGGCTGCACACACTTTAGCCATCTCTCTGTGGCACTTCGGAGACATGGCTGGGCATTGCCCAGTCCTTGCAAGGGCAGCCAGAGCTCAGTGGGCCACTGACCCTTTTTTTTTTTTAATATATTTTTATTGATTTTTTACAGAGAGGAAGGGAGAGTTAGAAACATCGATGAGAGAGAAACATCGATCAGCTGCCTCCTGCACATCTCCCACTGGGGATGTGCCCGCAACCCAGGTACATGCCCTTGACTGGAATCGAACCTGGGACCCTTCAGTCTGCAGGCCGACGCTCTATCCACTGAGCCAAACCGGTTTCGGCCACTGACCCTTTTTAGTAATAATGAGAGCGAGGAGATTGTCAACTACAATTGAAAACTCACAGTACTGCAATTTCCTATTTGGGACATAAGTGTTCAGCTCATGATGTTTGCTGAAGGTTAAAATTATGGTTTGGGTATACAGAGCATAGGAAAACCTCACTGATCAAGATGAGATCCTATATTGAATGGCTGTGGGATGATCTTATAAAGCAGATTTACCCTCCAGTAGCATAAATCTAACAGGAAGTTTTCTTGTCATCTAAAGATAAAAGTAGTTTTATACATAAAATAGGTTGGGGGTATATATGAATGAATAACTTTATTATATGGATTTAATTGGAGGAAGGAGAGACGAAGGGTAGAGTTTTATAAATATCTTATTAAAATTTTTGAGCATTCTCTTATATTTATGACCCAAATCTATTAATACAGAACTATTAAATTTTGTACTCATCCTTCTAAAGCAGTGGTTCTCAACCTTCTGGCCCTTTAAATACAATTCCTCATGTTGTGACCCCAACCATAAAATTATTTTCGTTGCTACTTCATCACTGTAATGTTGCTACTGTGATGAATCGTCATGTAAATATCTGATAGGCAGGATGGTCTTAGGCGACCCCTGTGAAAGGGTCGTTCGACCGCCAAAGGGGTCGCCACCCACAGGTTGAGAACGCTATTCTAAAGGGAAAGAGTGAAATTTATAAATTACTGTTTTAGTATATTACAGTTATTTTATATGATAACTTAATTTTTTCAGCAAAATGGAAATATAGTGATAAAGGAAAGGAAGAAATGCAATTTGCTGTTGGTTGGAGTGGCTCTTTAAATGTCGAAGAAGGGTAGGTACCAGTTAATTTTTTGCCTCTATGTGTATATGAAATTGTTTGAATTGTAAGCGAATCTATTAAGTTTCATCTTTTGGAAAGTGTATGTTCATTCCAACTTTGAGGTGGAAGAGCATGACTCAGTTAGCAAGTTTTAATTTTACTCATCATGTGATTTCTTTTTTTTTTTTTTAATTTTTTTATTTTTCGCTTAAAGTATTACAAAGGGTATTACATAAGTGTCCTTTTTTTCCCCCCCGCCCTTGACACACCCCTACCCTCCCTTACCCCCCAGTGTCTTATGTCCATTAGTTATGCTTATATGCATGCATACAAGTCCTTCGGTTGATCTCTTACTCCCCTCCCTCCTGCCCCCCAACTCTCTCTGGCCTTCCCACTGCAGTTTGGCAATCAGTTTGAGGCAGCTCTGCCTCTGTATCTATTATTGTTCAAAAGTTTGTACTGGTCTTTATTATCCATGAATGAGTGAGATCATGTGGTATTTTTCCTTCATTGACTGGCTTGTTTCACTTAGCATAATGCTCTCCAGTTCCATCCATGATGTTGCAAATGGTAGGAGTTCCTTCTTTTTAACAGCAGCATAGTATTCCATCGTGTAGATGTACCACAGTTTTCTAATCCATTCATCTACTGATGGGCACTTAGGCTGTTTCCAGATCTTAGCTATGGTGAATTGTGCTGCTACGAACATCTGGTTACATATATCCTTTCTGATAGGTGTTTCTGGTTTCTTGGGGTATATTCCTAGTAGTGGGATCACAGGGTCAAATGGGAGTTCCATTTCCAATTTTTTGAGGAACCTCCATACTGCCTTCCATAGTGGCTGCACCAGTCTGCATTCCCACCAGCAGTGCACAAGTGTTCCTTTTTCTCCACATCCTCTCCAGCACTTGTCGTTTGTTGATTTGTTGATGATCATCATGTGATTTCTTAAAAACACACACAACTGGAGAGGATTTAAGGAAGAGGTCAGAGAGAATTTTATAACATCTTTCTTACATTTTGTCTTCTCCGCCGTCTTCCATTGCTAATTTTATTCAGCCAGAAAGTCAAGGGCAGTAATTGTCTTCTCTGCTTCGCTGGCATTGGACTTGTACTTCAAGGGGACAGTGCTACAGTAATTCTTTTTTTTCTTTTCATTTCTATTTTTATTTTTATTGAATTTATTGGAGTGACATTGGCTAATAAAGTTATATAGGTTTCAGGTGTGCAATTCTATAACACGTCATCTCTACATTGTTTTCTGTGTTCACCACCCCAGGGCTACATTAATGCTTAGAACTCACAAATACTTCAAAAAAGCAAGTTGGTGAATTCAAGGTTTCCTGCTAACCCAGTAAGAGTCATACAATCAAATCTCTAACATGGTTACAGGATGGAGCTGCTAGCCTGAACCTGGAGCCAAAACTGTTTCGAATCGCATTTTTATGACCCAAAGCTCTCTGATAAGAATGAATACGATTTTTTAGACTTTGAATTCAGATAAAGGAAAGCCAAGTGGGAGCCCGTAGTACATGCCTGCACATTGTAGATACTCTTATCAAAAAATGAAAATATTTCTCCTTACTAGTAAGTCACTCAGTCTAAAGCATTTCAAAGACACTTCTGCCACGAGTGCAACGCAAACATAATGGCTGAATTCCTTTACAGACAACAAGCAAAAAGGTTGACTTCGTTCAGTGATTCCCTGGCGTGTGGGCAAGAGTATTTCTAGTTCTCCTAACGGTCCTGGGGCTTGACTGGTTAAATAATAATCAGTCAAGGAGTTATTTTAATTTGGGGCTTGTTCTCTGAGCTCTTGACAAATTTTTCAAGCCGACATGTCAGGAAAAAAGAACCGCTAGGGAACATCCACCCTAATCTGTGCTTAGAGATAGGTTATCGGGGCCAGTTTCTGCAAAATCTGCACGAAGCAGCCCACTGGTTGAAGCACAGTAGGTCCCTGGAGTCTGTGCTCTGCAGACCTGCACTCCCGTGACCAACAGCGCCTCCTGCCCTCGCCCAATTTCTCACTGATGCAGAGGAGAGGGGAGTGGGCTGTGGCGACAGCCTGGTGAGCTTTGATACTGTCTCAGTTCTGTGTACATAATCACAGTGTGTCGACGGGTTTTGCTTTCTTTACTTTCATGCTTTTCATGACAATACAGAATGAAAAATACTGCTTTTAAATGACCCTCTAGTGAATGTGGCATTGTCTTTCGTGGGAATGGATTTTATGGTCCTACTTACAGTGGAGTTTGTTTGTTGTAAATATATTTTTATTGATTTCAGAGAGGAAGGGAGAGGGGAGAGAGAGATAGAAACGTCAGTGATGACAGAGAATCATTGATTGGCTGCCTCCTACACACACCACACTGGGGGGATGGAGCCCACAACCTGGGCATGTGCCCTTGGCCAGAATTGAACCTGGGACCCCTCAGTCCACAGGCCAGCGCTCTATCCACTGAGCAAAACCAGCCAGGGCTTACAGTGGAGTTTTACTGTGATTTTCCTGAGGCGCTGAATCAGACTGGTCCACAGAGCTCATCTCTCACTTACCGCCCTTTAACGTCACATTCGAGAGAAGTAAAAGCAGTTCATCCACTCATGAGATAAGCTCACACTTTTGTTTTTGTTCCTAGGGAGCATGTCACCAGTGCCCTGTGCATCCCACTGGCAAGCCAGAAAAGGTAAGGATGGATAAGAGGGGTTTGTTTGCTTTGTTGTGATTGCTGGGCCGTTCTGGTCATGACTTTTGTTTGTGGCAGGAGTTCCACGGGCCGCCCTGACTGGACCTGCATCGTGCTGGGCTTCACGTCGGGTTCCGTGCGCTTCTACACGGAGGTGAGCCCCGGGCCCACTGGTCGGAAACAGCAGTGACTGGGACACCTAGTTAGGCACCACTGTACTCGTTTGTGACTACCGGTTGGGGACGCATAGTTGATGCTTTATGGAGGTGGAGGCTGGACAGGGGAAGGGTGGTGGTAGAAAGTTCTGGTAAGAGGGATACAGAAGAGAAGCTGTATTCTTCTGAGAAGAGAGGACCTGGTGTCCATGGAGAACTTGTTGGGGACGCGGTACTCCCTGCCTGGCCGCACCGGCTCAGCTATGTTGGTGAGAAATCAAGCCGGGCCCTTCTCTGTGCCTCCTCCTAGAACGGTGTGCTGTTGCTCGCACAGCTTCTGAATGAGGACCCTGTGCTGCAGCTTAAATGCAGGACCTACGAGATCCCACGGCATCCGGGCGTGACTGAGCAGGTATGTGAGAGTTCGTATTCAAGTACCAGTGGCTTTACTTGAAGTCGTGTCTTCCTCTATATCAGGTGGAGAGGTAAAGCTATCTTTGTCTGGTGGCACAGTTAGCTGTACGGTCACATTCTTGAGATACAACCAATTTACAGCTGAACAAAGAGAATACCAGTCGTGCTTTAACTTATTTAATGAAGTTTTGCATGTTTGTTCTGCAGTCAAATAAAATACTTTAGTCAGAAGCCAAGAAAGGTTTCTTATTTTTAGAATTTAATAGTGACTTAAAACAAAAGTGGGATATTATATAACTTTATATAGTTTTAATTTGGGTTTAGGTATCAAAGTATATGTGCAAGGTGTCCCCCAAAAATGTATCCACACTTTTTCCTGACAGCTCAATTGATGTTTCTTTCTTTTCAAATTTAACCCATTGGAATTAATAATTATTCAAACTATGTATACAATTTTGGGGGACACCCCATATATTTGATCCTTCTTTGTACCACCCTGCTTCCAAAGGTTTGAAGTTAACAGGTGTATATATTGTGTGCCTGTGGGGACTTAACTAGCATTATAGATGGACTAGAGCTATAAGAACTGGAGCAATAGAAGAAATTAATCTTATAGGAAAGACTAAATTAATACCCATTAATTCTTATGAGAGAGTTAATTAGTAATGTAAAGCAATGCCTAGTTAATTGCTGTGTAGCCATAATGAAAAACTACTTGTTCGCTTAGCAAAATGGAAAATCATTGACGTATTATTGAATAATTAAAGCATGTTATGGGATAATATATGTGGTATATTCTCACACAAAAGTGTATGATTATATGTGAGGATATGTACTGAGACCTGTCAGAGATTTCAGGTGAGTCTCCTTTTTTCTTTCTACTTTTATATAGTGTTTGTATTTGCACAATGACTATATTTTATTTTTATAAAACGTATACCTTTTTTGTTAATCTCACCTTGTATCCTAAAAGCATTATTCACCATGAACAAAAGTTTATATTTGAGAAGAATCTCAATTCCTTGGCCAAAAACTTTCTGAAATTAATTTTCCATTTATTTTTACTTTTCCTCTGCTTGTGTTGTTTTTTGTGGTTGTTTTGTGTTGGTGGTTGACAGTTGTTGTCATAATGTTTTTTACTTTACATTAGTCATGACATTCAGCTCTAATAGGAAAATGAATACATTTATTTGACAATGCTGATTTATTATTTTCTTCTTTCTTTGGTAGAATGAAGAGCTGAGTATCTTATATCCTGCTGCCATTGTGACTATTGATGGATTTAGCCTTTTTCAATCTCTTCGTGCTTGTCGAAATCAGGTAGCAAAAGGTAATTTTTGACAAGAAGTAGCTAACTTGTGGTGATGTTTGTCTAATTTCATTTAACCTATTTAACCTATGAGTTGCCAGAGGTGAGTGTGACCAGCACAGGAACAATGGGGTTGTTCACGGATTCGGCTAAATGTGCATCTCTAATAGACACGCTTTTCTACTAAGTCAGAATTCAGTTGAATTTTTATAGCTATTTCATAGTTTTTGAAATTTTGAAATTTAGCCCATTATAAACTGATTGTCTTGGGGACACTTAAAGTAGTCACTATAGCCCGGCTGGCGTGGCTCAATGGTTGAGCGTCAACCTATGAACCAGGTCACAGTTCAATTCCCAGTCAGGGCACATGTCCAGGTTGCAGGCTTGATCCCCAGTAGGGGGCATGCAGGAGACATCTGATCAATGATTCTCTCATCATTGATGCTTCTACCCCTCTCTCCCTTTACCTTCCCCTCTCTGAAATCAATAAAAACATAAAATGTTATTACATTTTTTGTGACTTTTAAAAAATATAAAACTTCACTGTACTCATTATAGTGAAGTTTGGTTTGTCTAATTTTTGTCTTTGACAGCTGCAGCTTCAGGCAATGAGAACATACAGCCACCACCATTAGCTTATAAGAAATGGGGTCTGCAAGATGTTGACACTATCGTTGATCATGCTAGTATTGGTAAGCATTACTAGCTCAGTTCTTTTGAAATTTACTTTCTATTCCTTTTGATTGCAGGAACTCATTGATTCGAACTGTAGATTTATTCTTATGTGGAAAGAAAATGCATTGCTTTTAGTGAGACACATGGAAGTTAGTTCAGACTTTCACAATTTGATTTAATTTTTCTGCAGACAAGTTTAATCCATATAATTTCCCTATAGATTAGTGTTTTTAAAATGTAACCTTTAAGCCAGCAGAATACAGAGAAAAGCAAAATTCTCCTTGAAACCAGTATTTGAAGGCTCACCGTGCTAGGCTCAGGAATAGAGCCGAGAAGACATGGTCACTGCTACCAGGAAGTGTAGTGGGAAGAAACCCGTGGAACAGGACCACAACCTAATGGTCGGAGTGGACAGTGGACTGCTGCAATGGGAGCACGGAGAGGCCTGGCACTGAGGGAGTGCGGAAGAAGGGTGGACTTTAATCCGGGACGGGAAGAAGAAGGATTTGACCAAGAGAACAGACACAGAGAAGGCATTCTTGCCATGTAGGCATGAGGGTAGAAGTGCATTGTCTTCTGGAAAAACAGTGGATGCCCGGGAGAACTGACAAGAGCGAGGCCAAGTATAGAAACAGGAGTCAGGTTTTGAAGGGCCCGGCGTGCTATGCAGGAGGCACTGAGAGCTCTCCCACAGCCACACTGGGAGCCACTGAGGAACTGTGAGCAGGAGCACGACACTACCTCAGCCTGTTAGGAAAACCACTTGGTGGAAGTTCAGAGGTCGCGATGTAAGGGTCAAGACTAGGAAATGAGTACAGTAGGGAAGTGTAATAATCTTGGGAAGAAGTAATGGGCTCCCGAGTTAAGGTAGTAGAAATGGGGTGGAGATGAAGAACATGCTATTTTAATATTTTTCTCTATTTATCAATGTAATATTTGCTTGTTAAAAATGTAAATAGTACATAAATATGTAAAGAGAAAATGAAAACAATATCCCCTTACATTCTACCATCTAAAGATACTTATCATTGGCATTTTTGTAAACATTCGTTCAGAATTGTATGTGTACCATTGTGTATGGTTATGTAGACAGGCTTTCAAAACTAGGATTATTCATACCAACTATTATAGCCCTTTTCTTATCAACATATTATAAAGAGGCTTTCACATCAATTTTGCCAAATATACGTTTTTATCAGAGTCCTAATAGAAGACAGGTGACATCTTAAAAATAGCGTCATTGAATGGGGTTTATTTGCAGAGAAACTATTTATAAAGTGTGAGACCCACCCATTCGGGATAGGGTCTCAGGGCTGGTTAACAGCACAGCTGTTACCCACTCCCAGGCCTAAGAGATGAGGGCCCAGAGCAGTGCCAGGACTTGGGGGTGAGGAGTAGGCTCAGCACCTGAGAGCAGGCTCTGTCTCGGGTGCAGGCAGGGGAGCTGGAGAGAGTTGGACAGAGTTGAGACGTACTTTGCCCTTGTGAAGGGACGGGCTTTTGTTCAGTGGTCACGGGAAGTAGGTTTCCTGACCTCATTCTCCTTACTCCCTTTGACCTGCTGATGGGGCTTCCCGGCTGTCTGACCCCAACTGCAAGTCCGCAGGATCAGCACACTGGCCCCGGGAGTGAGCAGGGAGAAAGGGCAGGAGTGTGAATCTAGAGGCGAAGCAGTAGATGTTGGACAGATGGTCTGTTTACTGTTGCATAGGATTGTATGCAGTCCTCTGTGTTAACACCTTACTGGTAGACATTCAGTTTGTCTTGACTCTTTTGCTAAAATAAAATTGCAACAAAATTCCAAAGTGTTGAGTTCAGTTCAGGGTAGCATCCCTGTGCTGTTAATTAAACTTTGGAACATTGAAACAGGCTAGGATAAATGAATGGGTAGAAAAATCTGACTCTATTCACTTATCTCCCAGCCTACAATATGAAGAAAGAGAAGTGCAGTGGACTTTATGCAAAGGTTTGATTAGTTCATTCAGCAAATAAATGAACAAGCGCCTGTTGTGTCCCAGCAGCTAATATTGGCGCTAGAAATACAAGGCAGACGGATGAAGTGTACATTCCGGTGATAAGGAGACAAACAGTATGGTAACAGCAGAGTGTTAGACGCATCAGGAATAAATCATCAGAGTTGTGATAAAGGAAGAGGGTACTCCAGGGGGGCCTGGGAGGAAAGGCCTGTCCAGGGAAGTGGCATTCAGACTGAGACATGAGGGTGAGGAGGAGCCAGCTCCGGGAAGCAGAGGGAGCAGTGAAGATAAGATGTAATGGTTCATAGCTTAGAGGACTTACAGGTGCACTTTTAACCTTACAAGTACATTATGATAATTACTTTTGTAGCCTTTAAAAATGACTTATCTGTTAAATTGAGCGGTTAATGTCCTAGAATGGAATTGAAGGAAACATTCAATGGCCTACACTGACAGGGTCCTTTCAGTCCGTTCAGGTCATGCCTTGTTGTCGCTTGATCACTAGGTATTATGACGCTGTCCCCTTTCGATCAAATGAAGACTGCCTCCAATATCGGTGGATTTAACGCAGCCATTAAGAACAGCCCACCTGCCATGTCTCAGTACATCACTGTAGGGTCCAATCCGTTCACTGGCTTCTTCTATGCTCTAGAGGTAAGAGGTTCCTCCCTGATCATGGGTAAGGCCGTAGACTGAGTTTTCAACTTGTCTAAAAATGGCTATGGTACCTGAGCCTTACAAAGGTTGAGCAGTTTACATTGCTAAGTTTCAGTCTAAGCTCATATGAATCTCTGCTCGCTTTCTTCTAAATTCTTTAAATTAACTGAAAGGTACTGAAGTCAGTGTAAACAATTGAACTTTGTTTCTGATGGCCCGAGTTCATGGACACCGAGTTGCCTTGGATACTGTGCAGTAGTCAGAAGCTCGGGGTGTGGACCAGCCCCCACGGGTTTGCGTCCGTGAGGATTGTCAGGACAGAACTGGCTGCCAGCTGTCATTATCCACGTGGTGAAAATGGCTCCTTAAAACAGGAGACAGTTAGACTTGGCAGCTCTTACTTCTCGCTTGAAAAGCAGCCTTCTCAGAATTGCCTGCCTAACCTATCTTTTTACTTTAGTAAAACATATATATTTTTTTAAAGAGGGCAAAGAGCAAGTTGTGTATGGTTGGGAAATCCACAGCCCTGATATAGTAATGCCATTTTAATATCCTAGTTTAAAAGTTTCAATTAAGTTACAACTAAAAGAGGGAACTCCTAAAGATAAAATGCCAGTGGCTTTGACGTTGACACTTTGATGATATTGCTACCTCCTGGAATAAAGTGACTATTCTCCCCTTAAGGAGCTGCATAGGTTCTTGCTATCCAGGCTTTCCAGCTTTTTCAGACTTTATAACGCAGGCCTCCTTTAGAAAGGCTTAGAAAGCTACCCTGTTCCTTTGTCAGCGGGCACGTGTTCTGTCTTCCAGGGAAGCACACAGCCGTTGCTCTCTCACGTTGCCCTCGCCGTTGCCAGCAAACTCACTTCTGCTCTGTTTAATGCCGCCAGGTAATCGCATAACAATTACATTAAGCCGTCTCTACTTTGTCTAGCTTGGTTTGGGGCTTCTAATGTGATAGTCTGCGCTTGGACGCTCTGCGAGCCCCGGTTTTATTCTCACACTCTCTTTCCAGTGGTTGGCTTGGCTGGAAGAGTAGGCACGAGGAAGAAGCTGTCCAAAAGCAAAAGCCGAAGATGGAGCCAGCCACCCCATTAGCTGTAAGGCAAGTCGGCCATGCTCTTCTCAAACTGGGGTGGTTTTGGAAACGTTCTGTGGGATTTAGGGTCTTTCGATGAGCTTAGGGGATTTGTTAATCTCATGAGTCTTTGGAGCCTCTAAAAGTCACTGGTATGGGATGAGTTTTCCAGTAGAATGTAAACTCCATGAGGACAGCAGTTCTTGCTTGTTTCATTCACTGCTGTCTCCCTGTGACATCACAGGGGCTCAGTATGTATTTGTGTGTGTGTGTTGTTTTTGTTTTACAGACACCAAAAGCTTAGCTTCTAAGTCGCAGGAACATTAACTGTGTGATAGCTGATGATTTTCTTTTTAAAAATAGTTTGGTTTGTCAGTAAGCTATAAAAATATTTTTTAAAAACCACCTTAGTAATTTCTTTAAAAAAATAAAAATAAAATGAAAACAGGAGCCCCCTGCATTCAGGCCCTCTTCAGAATGCTGGCTTTGCCTCTTTGCTTACCTCCATCCTTAGTGCTGTCAGGTTTGGAGAGGAGAAGAGGTGGTTTTTGCTAGATTTTGTTTTAAAATTATTTTTTATTACCTAATATAAAGTACCACCATGAAGGGAAGTAGAAACACTCCCTTCCCCCTTTTAGATATTCTTCACCTAAAGAGATACAACCAATTATGTTATCAAAACTTCTTGAAGTTTCTCTCCTAAGATTTTTTCATCTTATTTTAAAATATGCCACATTTTTAAATTCATTCAGGAATCAGGAATTAAGCCAAATGGCCCTATGCGTCCCTAACAGATGTAGCGAATTTGAGCCCTTTGTCTCAGGGACTGTCATCAAAGTGAGCTCTCCTGGTCCTTTCTCAGTACCCTTTACTCTTACTGTACTTACAGCTCTAGTGCGATTGGTTACAGACCAGGAGCAGCTTAGAGAAAAATATTTAGAAGGGAAGTTCTCCCTTCAAGCTAATTAACATTGGTATCAGCAAGATGTGATACCTAGCAAAGAGAAAACAGGTTAGGAATAAGAACTTAAAGCAGACGGCAAATGCCTGTGTAGGAGCCAAGTTTTCTAAAATTTCGCTGGTTGTGAGGGTATTGTTTTCTATGACATACCGCTTAATCAAGGAGAGATGGTTATGATGCACTTGATGTTCTCTGAAAAATAAGGTCGTGGGTATTTACATAGAAAACCTATAAAATAAATATATGTTTTTATTTTATAATGGAGGAAACTTCTTATAGTGCAAACTGTCATATGTAGGTAATTAATTATTAGTCCATACAAGGTTCATATTTCTTTATGTAAAAGTAGATTCAGCCTATGTCATTTACACATTTCATGATTGTGGTATATATCTCTAGGTTGGAATGTGATTTGAGCTTTTCGTTTTCTTTCACATTTCAGATTTGGGCTTCCAGATTCTAGACGCCATGGTGAGAGCATTTGTCTATCTCCCTGTAACTCTCTGGCAGCAGTAACGGATGATTTTGGCAGAGTTATTCTATTGGATGTAACCAGAGGAATCGCAATACGCATGTGGAAAGGTACGTCCTTACAAACATCCAGGAAAAAAGCTTCATTTGTTTTTTACCCCAATAGTTGAGCAACATGATCATTCTTTAGCTTCTGGTTGATCTGTCTAATTCTTTATGCTTTTTTTTTTTTTTAAACATGAACTAGGATTGGCAACACTTGATCCAGAAATCCAGTTGATATGTCTTTAAGTTTGATGAACTCATAGGCCTGTCTAACCTCTTTTTTATGTACTTTTCAATTCTCTCTGTCATTGTCAATTCCTGAACTCAGTTTTTTTGCCCCGGCTACATTTATTCCACTTCACAAGGCCATGTTTGAATCAGATGTTCTCCCCAAAGCTAGAATGCCGAGCCTTTCAGATTTAAGAAGCAAAACCTAGCAAAATCCATCTTCGCTGGCTTGATTTCTCTATCCATATGCTTGGCCAATTCACTTACGTTATTGGTAACTGTGTCAATTGGGAGTTGCATTTGGCTGCTAATATCAGACCCAAGTACAGGATTGATATGAAATCACCACAATGTCCTCAGGAACCCAGTCTCCTTCCATGTAGCTTTCCCACTCAAGGTCCTCTCATGGTGCAAAAGGCTGCTGGAGCTCCAGCCCTCTTGTCTGTATCCCATGACGGAAGAAGGGAAAAGGACTCAGTCTACTTTGAAGATACTTCCTGAAGCCCTCCAACCTTTTTCGATAAGATATTCGCCAGAAGTTAGTCACATAGTCTTACCTAACTGTTAGGAAGGCTTGAAAATATGAAGTTACATTGTCGACCTGAACAAAATAAAAAGTCTTTGACGAAGGAAGAAGTGGAGACTGCATCGTTGGGAATCACCCGAATAATAGCATGTGAGCACAGGTTGGAAACCACAGTTATGGTGCAATCTGGTCCGCACTTGGCATAATGGACTTGAGGACATTAAACTACTCTGGACCGGATGGAGTCCATTCCTTCTTGCCGACGAATTCCTACAGCGCTCACCGGCCACGTGCCTCAGTGTCTGCAGAAGAGGGTTCTGTGCTGCAGACACATCATTCCTCCGTGATGTTCGTCTTCTGAAGCAACATCAAGGCTGTGTTCTCAGCAAGACTTGTCCCGAACCTGGAAGGTGCGGGTGTGCCAGCCGGCCCAGCTCCCCTGTGCGGGCTTGTTGCTGGCCTTGCTGCTCACCTTTTGGCCCCCAGTGCAATCAGTTCTCCTCCCTGTGCTGGGAAGAGAGGCATCAATGGCCTGTGAGAGCGGCCACCTCCCTTCACTCTGCGGCCCACACTTTCCCTCCATCTGCCCAGCACCAAGGAACTTGAGTAACAGGAAATCAGTTTGATCTCTTCCTTAAAGTTTAAATGGACTGTTGTTTCAAAACCCAACCTGATCACCTCCCAGAGTGTTTTAAAGGGAGAGAGTTTTTAAAGAGAGGGAGAGAAGGGAATCAGATGGGAAGTTCACGAGGCTTCAATGACACCTGTTTTAAAGAAAAAAAGCGATCTGAAGCAAACTGAGCAAAATACAAGATTTAATAAGACTTCATGGTTGATTCTATATTTATTATAATTATTAATAGTTTCTGTTTAAGATATTTCATAATTTAAAAATAACGAAGTTTTACAGCTTTTCTTAAATTCCTTCCCTACCCCCCCAAAATCCCATAGTGCTTGAGAAGGCTACTGTTAAACTTATATTAATTTACCAATTAGCATCCCTTTCTCCTGTCTTCAGGGTATCGGGACGCCCAGATTGGTTGGGTCCAGGTGGTAGAGGACCTCCACGAAAGAGTCCCAGAAAAGGGGGACCCCTCCCCCTTTGGGAGTCCCCAGGGCCCCAGTCGAGTGGCTCAGTTCCTCGTGATCTACGCGCCGAGGAGGGGGATTTTGGAGGTGTGGAGCACACAGCAGGGACCCAGAGTGGGCGCGTTCAACGTGGGCAAGCACTGCAGGTGAGCTGCAGGCCGCCCCTTCCTGGTGCAGCAGAGCTTCATCCAAGTAAAGCTTTCATTCCATCTGCTTATTCGTTTGCAAGTTGTTTGAGACACATGTTCTTTATTATGGTTTTTCCTGCAAGTGTGTGATAACAGAGAAACCTTCTTGAAAAGGCCGCGATGTGCTACCGAATGAGTTAGCTTTGGTGCTGCCTTTTGTCCCGTCCCTTCCTCACGCTGTGGAGGCTCCGGAGGGAAGATGCCTTCAGATGTCAGATGCTTTGTTTGCCATTGCAACACGGGCCTGTGTTCATTTCCTTTTCTAGCACATTTTTAAAAAATATGTTTGTATTGATTTTTAGAGAGAGAGGAAGGGAGAGGGATAGAGAGATTGAAATATCGTTGCGAGAGAAACGTCCATTGGCTGCCTCCTGCACTCCCCCTACTGGGGATCCGGCATGTGCCCTCAAACCAGCGACCTCTTGGTTCATTGGTCAATGTTTAACCACTGAGCCACACTGGCCGGGCTCTAGCACATTTTAACAGGCAGCACTCTGCCAATCGAGTCCCGCTTCACTTCCGTTTTGGTATCCGCTTGTATTATTTGCCTTATTGATGCTTCTGCATTGCTGTAATGTTGGGGTCCCAGGTCATAATAGAAGCACCTAGTGGCATTCCTTTGTCTGTGGTCACCATATTGGTGTGTGATTTCTTTGTATATACAGGCTCCTGTATCCTGGCTATAAAATAATGGGCTTAAATAACGTCACCAGTCAGAGTTGGCAGCCACAGACCTACCAGATCTGCCTAGTGGATCCCGTGTCTGCAGGTGTGAAAACGGTGACTGTTCCTTTCCACCTGGCGCTGAGGTGAGGCTTCTCGATGTCCCTCGCTGGCGCCCCGCTACTAACTCGTCCCGCCTGCATCTTGCTAGTAGTTTTGCAGTTGTTTTCCTGTGTGTGTCTTTTCTTATGAGTCTGATACCTTTAAACTTAAGTAGGAAGAGTGTAAAGGACAGGGCACAGTTGGAGGGTCAGAGTTAGAAGGAAGCAAGGTCACATTTGTAAGAACGTGTTGTGTTTATTGTTTCAGTGACAAGAAGAGCGAACGGGCCAAGGACATGCACTTAATGAAGAAATTAGCAGCCTTGCTGAAAGCAAAATCTCCCAGTCTTGGTGGGTGTTCTCTAGTAAAAATACTAAAGCATACTCTGTTGTTCCTTAAATTAATATTATTCTCTAACTCGGGTGGGACACATGCGGCCCATGGGCCATATAAGGCCCACAAAATCCTTTGGTCTGGCCTTGCCAAGGCATTAGGGGTGAGTTAATTACGTGTTTGACCAAATATAGCCGGCTAATGTTTAAGTTGCTAATTTTGTATGGTCCACAAAAGATGTTATAAATATTCACATGGCCCTTGGCAGAAAGAAGGTTCCCCACCCCTGCTCTAAATGGAGCCGTCAGACACTAGATCGCATTCATGAGCTGTGACGGCTCTTCAGAAGGAGGCGAGGCGCAGGCGCTCACTGTGCTGTCCAGTGGAGTCGCCCTCTCAGGGAGTGTTCACATCTGTAATAGCAGCACCAGAGACCCAGACACCCTTCAAGCAGACGGGCAGTACACATAGATGCCTTTTTCTTTCAGAATAAAATTTGCCTGCAATAAAAGTGGAAATTTTACTTGCCTGATTTTCTCTTTCTAGATTCGGTTGAAACAGAAATAAAGGAATTAATTCTCGATATTAAGTACCCTGCAACCAAAAAGCAGGTGAGTGTCTATGTGAAGTTTCCTGCTGAGTAGCTATTCCAGTTCCCTCCGGAGAAAATATTTTCTTCGTTCCCCTCCAAGCACGAAAGGCTAGCCTTCCTTTCGTGTTCTTACTCATGTTCATCCTTTTTTATATTCCCACACGGCCGTTCCTGCTGTCCCTTTTTCCTTTCTTTTTTGAAAAAGTCAGTAATTCTACCACACAGGCAAGTGCATGTGTTTTACACACACACACACACACACACACACACACACGTGTACCTGCAATCAGTTGAGATAAAAGAATAATAATGTAAACCCGCGTGCTGACACCAGGAGCTCTGAGGAGCCCCCCATGACCCTCCTCAGCCGCATCCCCTCTCCCGACCCTCAGGGACCAGAATGTCGCTTCTCTGTTGCTTTTCTTTAGAATTGTTATTTTTACGTGGCTCCTTTAAAGCTGATGGATGCCCTCTCCGCCTTTTCGACTGTGTATAAAAGGAGTCATGCCCCACGTCTTCTGTGACGTCACTCCTTCCCCGTGTGTCTGGGCCTCCCCCACATTGACGCACGGGCTGCCGCGGACGGTGCCCTGTGATTCCACTGACTGCAGTTTAGTCACCTCCCGCCAGTGGACACTTAGGGCGTTTCCAGTTTCCTGCTGTGAGGAGCCGTGAGCTGTGACCATCCTTCTGTGTGTCTCCTGGTGCCCATGAGCAGGACTTTTCTCTTGCTCCCTGGCACATGTCGTCAGCTTGACTCAAAAAGCTTTTCTAAACATTCTCCAAAAAAAAAAGAAGCAGCGTTTCTCTTGCGTTTCTACCTAAGGGGGCTTGCTAGGCTCGGAGCCTCTTTACCACTGGTTGGTGGTAAATTGCTTCTGGAAATCCTGTCCTGACTCACGTCTCACTGCGTAAGGGACCCTGCTGCTCCCCAGCCCCACTCCAGGGCTCTAACGTGGTGCCTCATGATTTCTTTCACGACCACCCCTGTCAGTCCCCTCGTAATGCTCAGTCCTAGCTCCACAGCCTTCCAGACACTTCCGCCATGGATGCAGCGAGCTCCTCCCCCGCCGCTCATCGCACCGGGTAGCTGATACTAGTCGTGGCTCCCCACCTTTTCACCTGCCCCTCTGTTGAGCTCCTTCAAGTGGGGACCTCACCGAATGTGCCATTTCTATAATCCTCAGTGTCTGAAGCCAGGCCAGATACGTGGGAAGATTCAATGACTACTGATTTCTTTTTGCCTTTTATTTTTTAAAACACGTTGTATTGTTTTATTGTAGAACAGGCAAGTCCCTCTGACTTTCAGTCGAGTTTTCCATCCCACTGACAGCTTGGCTCAAAAAGCTCTTATAAAAGTTCAAAAAAAAAGAAAGAAAGAAGCGCTTCTCTTGCATTTATACCTCAGGGGGCTTGCTAGGCTCGGAGGCTCAGGGCTCTCCTTTCCTCAGAGCAAAGTCTCGGGTATCAAGGATGGCACTCTCATGACAAGGTGGGCATCTAGGCCGGCAGCTCGGAATCAGTAGCAGAAAGGGGGGCGGTTATAACCACACACGCCTTCTCATCTTCACCCCATCTTTCTTCTCTCACATCCTGGGAATCTTGAGCATAGTACAAACTGTCGTCTTGACTGTTGTTGTTGTTGTTACTATACTGCTGAATTGTGTATGAAGTTATGAATTTTTTTAAAATGCCAGGAATCCTAATAGTGAAAGTTGTGTGTTGTTTTTGACACTAAGGGGAGAAAAGAAACTAGTTTTGACTTGGGAAGACTGAATGGCAGAGAAGAAAGCAAGCCAGCTGCCAGCTTGTGTCAGAGTAGACAGAGCAGATGCAGATGACATCTCCCGGGGTATTTACCACATGTGGTCACTTTCTGTATAGCCTCCAGGTAGCTGGGTCATCATAGGCCTGGCCGGCCTCTCGAGCCACCTGCTAAGCCTGATTTTCCCCGAGAACACACAGCTGGTGTTTGTCTCACGCCACATTCTCAGCCTAACCTTTTATACTCAGCCCATCAATAAAAATACGATTTAATGTGCTAATATGAAATGATAGTATGAGCTGTGTCCAACCCTTTGGGGATTCTGATGATTGCCTCTTTAGGCATGAAGAGAGATTTGGGAACTGGTGATAAAGGCTCTTAAATTTCTACCAGGGGGAAGGAAGGGGCAGGTGCGGTAAGTATATATACGGTACCCCAAAAACATGTATACTCACTTTAACAGCTGATAACTCAGTTTTCACTTCTTTTTAGGTTTAACTGATTTGAAATAATGGGTGAAGCCAGTCTAAGTTTTGAACAAAGAATATTTATCCACTAGACTTTCTAAAGGTGATACATAAAAGATAAGTTTACAGTACAAAACCAGCAACAGTTGACGAATTGAGGGCCCACAAATACCCAATGAGGTGATTCTTGATGTTTGTGATTCCATTGCTTCACATTATCAGCAGTGCCTGGACTAGAACGGTCATCAATTTGAAAACGCATTGACAAAAAAATCATTCATTTCTGTAGGTTCTTTTAAATTTTGAAAATGAACTATATGCTAATAAACACTAACTTTATAATCATTCAAAGTGTGTATACATTTTTGGGGCACACCCTATATATCTAGACTGGCCTAGATTCAGTCAGCCCTGCCCATATGCAGTAATTAAGTTGTCAGCTTTTGTTCCTGACATGACAACAGCCTCTACTTTTCATTGATATTTATATAATATAGACTTATTCAAACTCATTAGTGAGTAGCTTACCTCTCTTTCTAATTGGTCCTGGCTATTCTGTTAAACACCAGTCGCTTTTGGTTGTTTCATTCTCATCTGAACTTTTTGTCATATCATGTTCGGCATGACAAGAAATTGATTACATATTACTTATGATGCACCCTTCACTCTCAGGTATATATACTAATGCAGCTTACATATGGAGTTTCCCTTTGAAATGTGGTGTAGTGAAAGTGGAGGCATCGATGTCAAATATAAACAAATAAGTGCCTTCTAATGACTTGGATTGCTACTTTCTTCTAGGCTCTGGAAAGCATTTTGGCAAATGAACGTCTACCATTTTCCTGCCTTAGAAACGTCACCCAAACTCTCATGGACACTTTGAAAAATCAAGGTAATCAGATTGTACTGATGGGTGGTTATGGTCTCACTTCATTGTATAACTGATCGTAGAAGTAGAAAGCTATCCTCGGCTTATGATGCTCTCCTGTTACTTTAAGGTGGAAATAAAGTACATAAGATAAAAGGAAACTTCTTTCATACCTTTAAGATTTGGGGACTTTTTTATTCCCTGTTCTTGGTATGAGTTGCTCTTTATCTGAGCTTTTTAATCTTGGGAAAAAAAACTAATTGATAGGAATTCTACTTTTGGTCTCTTTGCCACCCTTTCTTAAGGATACATTTGGCACAATCCACAGTTTCTGGTTGAATCGTCATATCTTTGACCACCACGATAGCAGCTTTAATTTGTTATCTTCAGTGTGAGAGCCTAATAGGCAGTGATGAGTCACGGGCTGAGAGAGGACATTTTCAAAGCTGTTTCCAGATCATTTATCTAAACTGGAATATTAGACCAAGATATTTCTTCTTTTTTCTTTTTACTGTTAGAGTACCTATTTCATTTAAAAATTTAAATATTTTGGCCATGATAGAAAAATTATTTTTGCCTTATTAATCTTCTATAGTGTAAGCTTCCCAGTATTTAACAAATCAGAGCAGGGAATTAGGTAATATTAAGAGACTTAATGGAGAAAAGCCTTTTGTGAATCTGCGGAACATCTCTTTACTGCGTGTTGCCTTTTAGAGGTGGAGTCTGTTGACGAAGGGCTGCTCCAGTTCTGTGCCGGCAAGCTGAAGCTGCTCCATCTTTACGAGTCCGTCAGTCAGTTAAATGCCCTTGGTTCTCCTGCAGACACGTCGGTCTCTGAGAACGTGAGTTCTCCCATTACCCACTCGACAAAATCGTCTCCTCGCTTATTTTCAGTTTTTCAAATTGGAAGTAAAGAAGTAGAAAATGGAAAAATTTTATAAAGCATACAGGTGTATTTTCTTTACAAGACTCCCTGCTAATTCTCTGTGTCTTGCTGCTAAATTTATATTAAATATGCCAGAAAATTAAATTTTATTATTCATTTACACTACCCTAGAAGCTTCTAGTTTTTCTGAACTCATTTTTTTTTTAATCCTCACCTGAAGCTATTTTTTCCTTTGATTTCTAGAGAGAGTGGAAGGGGGGAACAAAAGGGAGAAAGAGAGAAACATCGACGTGAGAGAGAGACATCGATTGGTTGCCTCCCGCACTTGCCCCTACCGGGGTTGGGGATTGAGCTTGCATCCCAGGTATGTGCCCTGGACTGGGAGTCAAACCCAAGACCTTTCAGTCCACGGGCCGACGCTCTAACCACTGAGCAAACTAGCCAGGGCCTGAACTCATTTTTTAAAGTTACTACTTATAATACAACTTCTGGACAACATTTGCCAGTTAAAATAGAGTCAGCTTACCGAAGTAGCAAAACTTTACTTTCCTTTAAAGAAAAAAAGAAATGATTCTGCCAAACAGACCACATTTTCTGTGTTGTTGTCAGCAAACGCATACAGCTCATCTGTTGTGTACACATAAAGAAATGCATCTTTAAAAGACTCTATCGTACATCCAAGTGTTTACAGTAATTATAGTAAATGTTCTATGCTTTTATTCCATAAAACATAACATAAGTGACAGCACCTGGTAATCTCTATTTATTACAGTGCAGTATCATTCATTTCTGAGGCGTGTATATAAAACCCCTACGTTCCATACAGAGAAGTGAAGTTTCTTAATGGGGACCAGAGAGAAGTATGTCCCCTCTCCCACTCCGGTTTCTGTGTGACCGTGGCCAGCTGTCTGGTTTTACTGATGTCAGGTCACTGGTAGTTCTTTTAAGAAAATTATCTGGTGCATCTGAAATGTACTTTAAACACGCATACATGAATAACAACTTCTTAAACATAAAAATGAGAGAAGATTTTCTCTCTGTAATGGAAACAACCTCCACATTCTAGCATCTTTTTTGTCTTTGGGATTATAGATGGATTTTACAAAGCATTTGAATAGTGATATATTCAGAGTATTCTGTGACTGCTGTTGCACATGACAAAGCCAGTTTCCAGGATCTTCAGGTTGATTGAGTTATGTGCACAGGATTGCCTAGGCATTTCACAGATTCCTCAGTGCCTAATGTTTTCTTTTTTTTAAAATATATTTTATTGATTTTTTACAGAGAGGAAGGGAGAGGGATAGAGAGTTAGAAACATCGCTGAGAGAGAAACATTGATCAGCTGCCTCCTGCACACCTCCTACTGGGGATGTGCCTGCAACCAAGGTGCATGCCCTTGACCGGAATCGAACCTGGGACCTTTCAGTCCGCAGGCCGACGCTCTATCCACTGACCCAAACCGGTTAGGGCAGTGCCTAATGTTTTCATGAGACCCAGCTACCATCTCACGCTCTGCCAAAGGAAGTTACAAAGATGGCTCTGCTAATCCCCTGCAGAATGCATCTCCACCTGATAGCCCAGCATAATATGCAAAGATAAAAGAATTACAAATTCTTCAAAATCAGTTGTCAGATTCTTTTTTATTTTTAAAGCACTTTTTAGGAATTAAAACCTTATTTGCCATAGACTTGTTTAGATCCTTTACACACCATACACTCAGCCTCTAGGCTGACTGGCTAATTCTGTGCACACAGAACTGAAATTCAGGGCTGAATTAATTCATTTTGCTGTCTCTGGCACATGGTCCATCAGCTCGTCTATAAACCCAGTATAGCATGGACTGCTGGCAGGCGTTCGGTAGCATTTGGCAGTTTACTGCTGGTTTGTGGAAACAACAGCCTTAGTCAATAACTAGGTAAAACTGCTCTGGTTTAAGGATGCAGCCTTACTCACGTCACATGGGGGGAGCGAGTTGTGCTTGCTGTGGCAAAAGTGTGGTCTTTAAAGTGTGTGTGTACTTTTCCCCAATTTAGAAAAACAGTTGGATCAGGAGATGTTCCTGCACATTGGTATAGAAGAGTGGTTTGAAAGGCTGCAGGCTGTATCAGGGACTTCCGGTCTCTGTAGCCCCGAGAGCCACATGGAGAATTTATATGTAACTAGAGGCCTGATGCACGAAATTCGTGCAAGGGGCTCGGCCCTCGCCTTGGCCCTCGCAGCCCCAGCTTCATCTGGAAGGTCGTTCAGCTGTCCAGTCTAATTAGCATATTATGCTTTTATTATTATAGATACATGTTCCAGTGTTTATGCTACTGAATAAATGAGGAGTCAGTTTCTTATTGACTAGTCCCTTAGTTTCCTCAGACTCACCAGAGTGGCAGTTGACACCCTGTTAAATTTTTTCCTGATTACACAGTAACACATTCATTAAAATCTGAACATTTTAAACAAGTATAATCTCAGGAAATGTTCTAAAAATGGTACTTTTAGTCTACTTTATTTAAATAGCCTCCTCATGAATGTGGCTCAAGTTTTACGCAGAGTAATTGGCGAATAAGGCTCTAACCAAGTTCATTGGAGCAGTCACATTAATTAAAAATCCATCTTTGGCTTGTGGTGTTGCATTTCACTTCAGGGGACGGGGTTGACACCCATGGCAGACTCAGAGAGAGCAACGTCGTCCATTCAGAATTTTTTCCTGCTTTTAAGGACTTGGCTGTATTGCTAAGGCTGGATGAAAAGGAACTCGTGAAGCTCCAGGCATTGCTAGAGAAGTATAAACAAGAGAACAGCAGGGCTGCTGTCCGCTTTTCTGATGATCAGGATGGTGTGTTGCCTGTGAAAACATTCCTGGAATATCTAGAGTATGAGAAGGACGTGATCAACATAAAGAAGATGGATGAAGAGGAGCACGTGGCTCTAGGTGGGTGGACTCTCCTGAGTGGAGAGGCACGCGGCCTGAGGTGGGTGGACTCACCTGAGTGGAGAGGCACGTGACCTGAGGTGGGTGGACTCACCTGAGTGGAGAGGCACGTGACCTGAGGTGGGTGGAATCACAGACCCCTGTTGGAATCCCGCCCGCTCTCAAAGGAAGCCTGGACGAGCCTAGAGCGTCTCAGAAATCCGGTTCATTTTGAAATTAACCACAGAATTTGTCAGTTACCTAAAGATGCTCTGGGTATGCAGGCACTGTGTCCTAGCAGTTGTGTTGTATCCATAAGTACACTTAAGAGACGGTGTCAGGATGGGCTTCCGCTTTAAGAAGTCAAGCAGATTGAACCAACAGTTTCCCTCCTCTCCCGTTATGTTGCTCTTTGGGGGTTTAGGTGGCCGTTGAGGAAGCTTGTCCGAACGGTGAGGGTCACTGGTTAATGCGTCCTGTTTCCGCCCACAGGCAGCTTCTTCTTTTGGAAGTGTCTGCACGGAGAGAGCTCCACGGAGGACATGTGCCGCACGCTGGAGTCGGCGGGACTCAGCCCGCAGCTGCTGCTGGTGAGCTTCCTTGTTGCTGACGCTGTTCTCTCTTGCTCACTCATCGGAACTGTCCATCTTTTTTTCCCTTTTTTTTTTAAAGCAGCGGTGGCCAACCAGTGGTCCGTGAGGTCTGAAAGGTTGGCAACCGCTGGTCTAAAGCGTATCATAGAACATACATGAGATCCTTCTAAAAATGGTCAAAAAAATTTATAAGCCCCTATATAGTTAGTTAATAGTATTTTCTTTTTGTCATTCCCTGTAGATTATAACAGCATAGTCCATGATTACCCTAAAAGAAATGTATCATGTGCCATGTATGCATGCATTCTCAGTGGACCACGACCATCAGTAGCAATGTTCCTATCGGAAAGAACTTCCTCCCAGCAATGCAGGGTGATCAGGCATTCCCTAGCAGAGTCTGTGTTAGACCTTGGTCTCTGTGCTGGAGGAAATGTAGACAGAAGATTCATCCCGTGGGTAAAGCACAGCACTGACGTCTGCCCGTTCTAAAAAGGGCAAGGAAGTAACCCCACCGTCACAGGCTGTTCTCTTACCACCCACATGCACACGGATGCATGCCCTCGCTCACAGTTCACAGCTGCGAATGGGAAGGGAGGGGGAACTTCTCTAAAAAAAACAAACACAAAAAACAGAGCCCAAGAATCAAAGTAAGAAATTGAATGTACAATAAGATTGGCTTTAAAAAGAACCCTGCTTGGTCACTGTGGTCACGTCCAGCAGGGGACATGGCAGCCGACCTGGCCCTTGCTCAGCCCTCTGGCCGAGGGAACCTACGTGCAGGTCTGTGTGCCACGCGGTGAGCGTGCGTCCTGCTCGCGTCTGGCTCGTTCCCAGAGCAGCCACTGCCAGTGCCCGTGCCCAGGCAGAGCAGAGGAGATGCCACAGCCTACCTCTTACGTGTGTGATGTAGCCATGGCTTTGTTACACGTCGTAAGGTGCTGAGGAAACTTAACTCTTATGTGTATGAGAGGCTACGGTACAGTTGGGGTTTTGTTACACATCATTTTGCTTAAAGTTGCAGACCCTGGTAATGACATTAACTGAGGACTTAGTGTGACAGAGGCTCCAGCTGGAAGGCAGCGCCTAGACCAGGGAAGAGGTGGGGAGGAGGGATGTAGATCTCCACAGAGGACTAGGGATCCCTTAGGCAGACGGCACCTCATTCTGTCCTTGTCACATGATGTCCCAGCCCCCACTCACTTCCCAGAAACACTGAATCCCGTGTACAAGTGCGAGAGTTGAAGTGAAATGTTGTCTAGACTGAAGAGGATCTACATCTCTTTCAGTCTCTGCTCCTGAGCGTGTGGCTTTCTAAGGAGAAGGACATCCTGGAGAGGCCGCAGTCTGTCCGCTGTCTGCACACGACACTGTCCCTCCTGAGCCGGATGAAAGGTAAAGTGCTGGGGCCTGGACTGCGTGTCCGCGGCCTCCGCTCTCGGAAGCCTGTTTAGTGCTTGAAGTGCTAGAGAAGCCGCAGGGGAGATCGTGTCTCCTGACAGGAGACGGCAGCTGCAAAGTCTTTCTCCCCAGAGCCTCGTATGCAGAGAACGCTCCTCATGCATTGCGAGGACGTGGCTTTATGAAAGTCGCATCTTGTGCTGTCACCAAAAAGAATGTAATCTGCACAGTGCGTTTGCTTAACTCGGAGGTAAACCTAATGGTCTCTGGTGGAGGTTATTACTTTCCTTACTTTTGTTCTGCTGAGAACAATAACCTATTACATTAAACATTCGATGCTCGATTTCAGCAATGACTAACTATTCCAAGCAGGGATTTAAAGTTGGTCCAGAAGCAAGGTGACCAACACAGCAAGAGTAACTGGAATAGACGTGTTCTGACTCAGCTAGACTTAGACCAGCTTTCCAGTTCATTCAGAAATAGGCAGGTTCGTCCCTGGGAGTTTAGTTCTAACCATGTTTAATCTGGAAGACGGCCCAGAACTGGGAACTAAGCTTCCTTTCTGACGTTGGCTGCAGTGGCCCTCGACGACACGTGGGACTCCCAGTCGGTGTCCCCGTGGTGGCAGCAGATGCGCACGGCCTGCATTCAGTCTGAGAACAACGGGGCTGCCCTGCTCTCCGCGCACGTGGGGCACTCGGTGGCCGCGCAGATTTCGGACAGCGCGACCGAGAAGAAGGTAAGTGGCAGGGCGCAGCGTCTGTCCGTGCCCGTCCCACCTGCGGAGGCACCGCACGTCCTCGTGTTGTGCAGCATCGGGGACCTGAGCTGTGTGTCCCATTCTTACTTGTCTTTCTTAGGGTCAGGAGGGGGTCAGGGGTGCTCCCCTAGTCTGTTTATTCAGACGACACCCACATGTGAGCATAGCACGCGTGGCCCAAGGCGGCAAGTGCTGAACTTGCTGTGGCTCTGCCAGTGGCTGGTGATCGGTGGCCAGACCCTTAAAGATGAGTTCTGTGGCCTCAGTTTCCCATGTGAGAGAGGCCAGGGTTGGACCACATGGTTCCGCGGTTTGTTCCAGCTCCTGGAATTCGACCTCCCTTGTTGTGAGCACAGGGTGTGTGAGGCACGCAGCACCCAATGACTCAGAAGTTCCCTGCTGACCCTTTCCTGGGTGGTTTCTCCTCACCTCTTCGAGACGCTTTAAAAAAACAGGGGGAGCCCTAGCCGGCTTGGCTCAGTGGATAGAGCGTCAGCCTGTGGACCGATGGGTCCCGGGTTCGATTCCGGCCAAGGGCACATGCCTGGGTTCCGGGCTCGATCCCCAGTAGGGGGTGTGCAGGAGGCAGCCAATCAATGATTCTCTCTCATCATTGATGTTTCTATCTCTCTCTCCTTCTCCCTTCCTCTCTGAAATCAATAAAGAAATATATTTTTTAAAAAAACGGGGAGTAGGGGAGCTGGGGAGGGAGGGCTAACATCTCATAGCTTGTGGTAGCTCAGATTGTTTTCTGGCGGGAAGCCACATTAACCTGGATGAGACCCTTAACTAGGTCTGCAGAGAATCACTTACATCCTCGGTCTCAGTAGTTCGTAGTGTCAGTTAATATTAGCATCTTGAGAGGTTTGCAATAATGAGGGAGAAGTTGGAGACACGTTTTCTGGGTTGGTGAGTGCATTCTGGAGAGAGGTCAGTGTCCTGGTACTGATAGGAGGGCCGGGCCCTTCTCCAGTGCTGCCCTGACAGCCCGAGGGAGGGGGCGCCGGCAGGTCTCTGTAAATGTCCACACTCCATCCCCCTCGCCCCGAGTCTCCTGCCCACTCCTGACCCTCACGTTTCATCCAGCTGAGTGATTACATCTGTGCGATGTACCCGGGCTGTCCATCAGCCCGCAGGTTCAGAGCTCATTCAAGTTCGTGGTGCCCTAGCTGGTTTGGCTCTGTGGATAGAGCGTTGGACTGCGGACTGGAAGGTCCCAGGTTCGATTCTGATGAAGGGCACATGCTCGGATTGCAGGCTTGATCCCCAGTAGGGGGCATGCAGGAGGCAGCCAATCAATGATACTCTCTCATCATTGACGTTTCTATCTCTCCCTCTTCCTTCCTCTCTGAAATCAATAAAAATGTATTTTAAAAAAAAAAAGTTCATGGTGATGCTGAATCCCCACCAGGTCGTCACCAGGCATTGTCTGTCAGTTTTCCCAAACAGTTGTGGGTGCGGACGCGGAGGCCCTCACGGACTCCTGGGAGGCCCTGTCTCTGGACACCGAGTACTGGAAGCTGCTGCTGAAACAGCTGCAGGACTGCCTCATCCTGCAGACCCTGCTGCACAGCAGAGCGGACACGCGCCCCGCCAGGGCGCCCTCGCTGCCGGCCGAGCCGCTCCCCCGGCTCTCCGTCAGGAAGCTCCTGGAAGGAGGGAGAGGTAACGGAGTCTCTGGGAGCATGTGTGTCTGCAGCTCTGTTGTGGTGGTGTGAGCGTCTGTTATGGAAATGACTGAAAGAATAAGGAAAGAGCAGTACGCTCAGATTTTAAAATGGGTAAATAGCCCACCACACACTTCTTCTCAGAGTCTGATCCTGTCAATTCCCTGCTCAGGGACCCCCACCCCACCCCTTGCAAAATAAGCAGCTGTTCTCAACGAATGGTTGGGGGCCTCCAGCGTCCCCCCTTTTCTAACTCCGTGCCTGGTGCATCCCTTCCTTCCCTGAGCAGTTCACCCAGCACGGCAGAGCCCAGTGGGCGGGAGGCAGAGCTCATCGGAGAGGAGACTCCAGACCGAGCCAGACGGGAGAGAGATTTGCAAAGTGTAGCGCCCCTCCTCCCTGGACATCCTGTTGGGCTTTGGGAATTACAGTTATTTTCATAAAATATTAACCTGCAGTGGGTTTATTTTTTCATTTTAAAATGAATTATAACATTTTTTAATATAATTTCTGCATTTTAATTTCTAATGCCATATTATTGAGGCATACAAGCCATAAGCTAAAGTCTTTGGGGCTGCCCATATGGTTAAGCGTTTAGGGACTAAGACTGAGACTAAGAAGTTCAGAAGCTGCCGGACAAAGTGAACTTGGCAGCTGGCTCTCCAGCACGGCCGACTGAATCCAGCCCCTTCCTACTTCCTGCTGGTCGCTAGGTTTCAGCGCCAGTGAAGCCCGGGGGTCCCCATCTCTGAGCCTGCGCTCTTCCCTCTCCCCGCCTCCCCCTTTCTCATTCTTCTTCTCCTGGACCCTGAGCGCTACATCTTAGCTCAAGTGCCACCTCCTCCCAGAAGCCTCTCATGAGACCAGAACTGCAACTTTTCTCTTCTTGCTAATTTCCACTGAACCGTGTGCGTCTTTTCCGACACATGGGTTCCTGCCTCCTGGAGTTGGTCTCGGGCTTCTATCTCAGGACCATAAGCATTTACATCTTGAATGACCTTGTTCGTCCCCTTTTCTTCCCAGCAGCTCCGTCAGGCTTGTGATGCTGGGATGACTATTTCTGAGTTTATAAATACGCATGTATTTATAGGTTTTTATTTAGATAACCCGTTTTCTCATTCCTTATAAGACTTGTGAAGTTTTTAATTATAAATTCACAGCACCCCACGCTGCCACCCGGGGCAAGTGTGGGAACACCATTTTAATATTCACCGAAGCAGTATCACCAGGGCCTTGATTCTGGAAGGAAAATTTGCAAGTGATTGGGAAGCCAAACATACGAAATTACATCGCCCAGCACACTGCTCTCCCATTCCCCTGATAATTGTGATTTTACTGTGAGGTATTCTTTTTGTGGAAAGGTGTACATTTGAATCAAAATAGGAAAGACTGAGAGAAGACATTTCAGTAAATTACAGAAGATGTGTAATATGTTTTGGGTAATAAACAGGACTCTTCATAGTGAATGTTTTTCAGTTTGCATTTATAAGTTTTTGGACTAAATTGATTGCAACAAGGCATATAGCATGTTGTTGATTAACTGTAGCTGAATTTTGCCCCTAAATTTTCCATATAGGCAAGTTAGTTGACTCTTAAAAGTAATATATTGCCCTAAGAAGCCTAGACCAGTATCGTGCTAATCCGTGTTTTTACTTACATTTAAATGAAAGTGTTTTTCAAACATGTGTTCATCCCTTCGTCTCCGTCTGGTAAAGTATATTTTGAATTTGTGAATGTAGAAGGTATGCAGTATCCAGGCGTGTATGCATATTCACTTGTATTTGTTTAATATTTTAGATGAGTCTAAAAGTGCCCTTAGATAGCCAATGCCCGCTACCCTCACAGGTGGGGTGGTAGGTAGTAACTGCTGTGACTCCCCTGGGGTTGGGTCACTTTCCGGCTGAAAACTGAACGTTGACACTTAGACTCGTGGTTGGAAATGCAGGCCCAGCCGACGGCTCCTCCCACAGACGCTATGCTGTAACTTTCCATCTTCTTGTCTCCAAACGGCAGGTGGCATCGCAGACAGTGTGGCCAAGTGGGTATTTAAACAGGACTTGAGCCCCGAACTATTAAAACTGGCTAACGAAGAAAGAGATGCAGAAAACCCAGACGAACCCAAGGAAGGTATCAGCCGAGGTTCATCTGAGGTGTCAGAGGTGGACGTGGACTTGGGAGCCATACCAGGTAACACACAATGCGGGGAGATGGGCGCCCGGAGGAGGCCCGCCCGTGTCCGTGGAGGCGGCAGTCACATCCCCTGCCTCTGCCTTGCAGACCTGCTGCGTGCGGCCCGTGAGCAGTTCCCGTGCAGCCTGGAGCTGGACGTGCTGCACGCACACTGCTGCTGGGAGTACGTGGTGCAGTGGAACAAGGACCCGGAGGTGAGACGCCGCCCCTCTCCGGGGGTCGTCTTTCTGCGCTCACCCTGTGCACACTCAGCTGTTTAATTACGTAACTTACAGGGACACGGGATTTTCCCCTCGGATGTCTCAGTCCTGGGAGCTGGGCATTGTCCTCACGCTCACAGGAAACCATGGCGTGTAGGCATTGCTGTTATCCTCGAGCTAGAGCTTGGTCCAGAGAAGCTGCGTTCCTTGCTAAGCGCACGCTGCTGAGTCGGGATTTAGCCTCGGGTCCTCTGATCTAAAACCAGTGTGATTTGCCTATTCCCTGTTAGATGTGAAAAGTAAATATGTGTATGTGTGTGTGTGTGTATTTTTTAATATTTTTATTGATTTCAGAGAGGAAGGGAGAGGGAGAAAGAGAGAGAGAAACATCAATGATGAGAGAGGATTGTTGATCAGCTGCCTCCTGCACACCCCTTACTGAGGATCAAGCCCGCAACCTGGGCATGTGCCCTGACTGGGAATCGAACCACTGACCTCCTGGTTTGTGGGTCCAGGCTCAACCACTGAGCCACACCAGCCGGGAAATAAGTATATTTGTTATTTCCTTTTGAATTCCTGCATGAGATGGCACCTACCTAACTGAAAATTCTTCATACTGTGGTCACCGTGATAAAAGTGAGTCAGGAGCCTGATGCCTGCCCAGGGCCGACTGTGCAGAGGCGTCTGCATCCCCTCATCCCGTCTCCGTCGGCCTCAGCAGGAGAGGCAGGACGGCCTCATTGTGCACAGGGCAACTCGAGGCCAAGCCGGCCTTGGGGCCTCAGCTCTGCGGGCATCATTCGGCCACTCTTGGCGACCACCTCTCTCCGGGCGTTCACTCCAAAGTGTGGGGAGAAGGGCCCACGCCTGGAGGCACTGCCTCTCTCAGCCCATTTCTCCTCGCTCCGCCTTTTTTAATGACGGTGCCAATCCTTCAGGACTGATGCCGGGATAGATAAGATGTAAAGACGTGGTGTTCAGCCCCCTTTCAGGCACAGTCATTCACCAGGCCTCCCTCGTCAGTGCCCTGCTGCCTTCTCCCTCTCCCCCCAGAACTCTTTCCTTTACTGTCCTCATGTCGGGTTGCACTTCTGAGTGAAAATCTCCCTGATGAACGAAATCACGCTAATAAAGTAATGTTGATATTCTTCCTCCCTCAAAAAGAGTCTCTAATATGTAATCACTCACATATTCAAGGAAGACCTTTAAAATGTAAGTGCTTTCCACAAAGGCGTGGTCTGATTCGTTACACTTTGACCAGGAAGAGATCAGGGACAGGGGACCTTCCCATGCCCTCCAGTCACCCTCTCAGTCTGAATGGTAATCGCATGTCGGCTCGCTACAGAAGTGGGTCCTTTTCCCACGTGGAAAAAGAATGCTAGGGCAAAATGGGCATCGTAATTGCCAAAATCTGAATCAGTTCCAGGTGCCCGGCTTATAAACCACAGGCAGGCAGAGCTGAGTTCAAGGCCCTCCCATCCACCCCTCCTCCCCACCCCCCACCACCACCACTAGTTAACAGCTTTGGGAATGTTTCTGAAGCCTTTCTCTGTAAAGCAAATGAGGGTCTAGCAGCAGCTGCCTCGGGGTCTTAGCGGTTTATAGAGAAGATGCTGGCACGGTGCCTGACATTTTGACTGGTGTTATCCTGGTCCATTAGAGCTGCTACATCTGAAATAAGTGGCCGCTTTCCTTATTTGCTTGGGTTTTTCCTGTTCAAGATTTATCTCCCTGCCCCATGCAACCCCATCCCAGGTCCATTTCGCACCCACAGCTTTGTTAGGCTCGGAACACTTGAAATTACCAAGGTGATGTGTTTGTTTAATCTTTGAACAGGCCACAAAATTATTCAGCAAACATCTGGAGATTTCTGGGGAACATTTCACAAACTGTATTTGAGTTTTAAACTACCTTGATTAGAAAGAGTGGACTTTCAAGCATCCCCTCTACTGTTTCCTGTTTCCCTTCGCTGTGTTCTGTTTTCTCCTTGGCATTGATCTCTCACATCCTGTGTAGTTTATTTGCATGTTTTATCTGGCCCCCTCACTATCACTAGAGTGTCACCTCAGCGAGGACAAGGATTGGGGTCTGTTTTGTTCACTACAGTGGTCCTGGTGCCTCACACAACCTGGTGCATAGTAGTTGCTCAACAAATATTTGTTGAATAATGAATGAATGATACTGTAAAGCAGGAAATCTACTGTTTTCATATCTGTGTGGAATGCAAGTATTTCTTGGAGAATGCTGCTATGATGTACAGATCACAGTAAATCTTGAACCCAGATGTCAGCATCTATGACCTGGGGGTGTCTAGGAATCAATCATTATATAGGTGATGTGGACTTAAGAGAGCATGACATTATCTCAGGAAAAATTACTTCTTACCTAATACTTCCATGTTGTTACTGCTGCATTCTTATGTAGCTTATGGAGAAGCTTATGTGAGAAGTTTCCATTTGTATTTGAAACACTTATTAAATGATATTCTTTTTGCTCTTTTTTTCTCCCTTCATGTAAGGAAGCACGTTTTTTTGTGAGGTCAATAGAACACTTGAAGCACATCCTTAACGCACATGTTCAGAACGGTGAGTAAACAGGCGTAAAAACGTCACTGATTCAAGGACAAGAATCTTTACACTCACATCCTATTATGTTTCTATTTGGTGGTCTTACCACCTAAACCCGTGGTCGGCAAACTGCGGCTCGTGAGCCACATGCGGCTCTTTGGCTCCTTGAGTGTGGCTCTTCCTAAGCCTTAGGAGTACCCTAATTAAGTTAATAACAATGTACCTACCTATATAGTTTAAGTTTAAAAAATTTGGTTCTCAAAAGAAATTTCAATCATTGTACTGTTGATATTTGGCTCTGTTGACTAATGAGTTTGCCGACCACTGACCTAAACATTAGTGTGTATTGTTTTATACAAAATACTGGCTTTCTTAACTGCTTAGAGAAAAACTGTCCAGAAAAGGGAGGGGCTGGCAGCTGTAGAGAAATTGTAACAGGTTGCTGGTTCCACTTAGGTGAGTTCCCAGAAGAGCTGAGGAGCTGAGCCTTGGGCTCGTGGGTCACCTAGGTTTCGAGACGAGGTTGGGGTGGTAGGAGGAGGTATCACTGTCGGTCCATGTGGTCAGTTCTAGAGAAGCTGCTGCTTTCTCCTCCGGGACCACCTCCCTGTCGGAGGCATGAAGTCAAACAGCAGAAATTCCACAAGGCCTCATGTGACATGAGGAGAGCTTGAAAAATTAGCTCATTACTCACCGTTTGAGATCATACCTTCTTCCAGGAAAAGAAAATAAGATTTAAAGTGACTCCTCAGGGAATATGGTCCCCAGAGTCGTGTGTCCTCCCTGATAAAACTGTTACTGCTGACGTCAGGCAGTGTTTCTTCAGGTTAGGGATCAGCACCCCGTGTGCACCGAGGCTCCTGGTTTCCTCACAGCCTGGGCAGGGCCTCGCTGCTCCACGCAGGAGCGGCTGTGTGGGTATAACTGCACGTGACGTCATGCTACGCTGACAGTTTCTGACAACTGTTTCAGAAATTTTAATTTAAACGCCATAGTTTATTAAATATGCAAGCATAAAGCCTGGGTGTGCTTTTTAATTATATTTTCTGTATTGTGGTTCTTAATATTTTTTACCTATCACTTTATTTGATGATTACATATGAGAAGAATCAGTTGATGGACATTTGGTTCCAGTGTTTGGCTGTATGAATGAAGCTGTGTTCATTCCTGCAGTGGAATCGCTGGGTCATATGGTAGACACGCCATTACTTAGCTTTAGTTCATAACTGCCCGTTGTCCAAGTGCTTTTACCAATTTAATATCCCACCCGCATACGAGCACTCATTCCAGTTGTCTCCACACCCTTGCCAGCACTTGGTATTGTCATTTTTAAGTTAGCCTTTCTGTTGGTTATGTGATATCGCTGTCCTTTTAGTTCATCTTTCTCTTATAACTAAAGATGTGAGTCTTTTCTTATGGTTATTGGCCATTTGGATATCCTCTTCGGTAGCCCGTTCTGGTTTTTATTAATTTTATACGTATTGCCTGAGGCATAAGAGCTGAAATCTCAGTAAACAGCCCGTGTAGTTGTATAAGGTTCAGGAAGCTGAGTTCGTCCCGTGTGATGGAGAGGAAACCCGAGCCTCCACTCACTGCATTTCTCCGCTTGCTGCAGGCATCGCCCTGATGATGTGGAACACGTTCTTGGTGAAAAGGTTTTCTGCTGCCACCTACTTGCTGGATAAGGTAACCCTAAATTTCACGTCCTGGCTGCTTGTTTATTGGTCCCGAGTGAGTGGATTTTAGAAAGATGATTCCATTGGCCTCGCTAGCCTGTGTTTGATTTTACACCACATTTCACTCCTGCTCGGTGAGACGTGGTCCCACTGCTGGCATCCCATGACTCGAGCAGGAGCCCACGTCCTGGAAAGTCCTCCACGGTGAAGGCTCTGGACCCCGTAGGCCAGGACTGGCGGTCGGACAGGCAGGGACTGGTGCTCTGTTTGAGGTTAAAGCCTGCAGGTGCCTCACTCACTCAGCTTTGGGTGCGGAGAACAGGTATCTTCTTGGAATGGGGTTGATTGTAGTTCTTCGGTTTTCCTGCATAAACCTCACCCATAATGCATTGCCCATGAGTTCTAGGACCTGTTTCTCAAAGGTATGGTGCAGTCTGAGTGCAGAGTCTTTATAGATTTTTATAATTGAGCCCCAATCTTTGTAGCTGCTTCCTGTGTCTATTCCAGTAGACCTAGGCGCCAGTTACTCTCCATAAATCTTTTTAAAGCAGTCAACATAATATTCAGAGGCACAGCTGCCTTGTTTTCGTCATTCACCTTTCATCGGTTGAATTCAGTTACGTAATTGCAGTATGTGCAGCCAGCATTAGATTTGGAGATGAACTTAACGTGCAAGCATGTCCCTGGGCTGGGGGAGGGAAGCTGTCAGCACGAGCAGAGGGGGCCGCCTGTGAGCTTCAGGAAGACTGGTGGTTAGGACTGGAGCTTGATCTGCAGCTGCTGGAGGCCGAGCTGCAGGCTGGTGTGGGTTTGGGATTTTCTAGTGAAATGTGTCGGCCGCTTACCCTCCGGCCTGGCTGTGGGGTGAGGGCTCAGTGAGGGGCAGCTTTTCATTTTTCTCAAAGACACTGGGGCAACTTGAAATCTTGATGTGTTCAGATTTGCGTTTAGGGAAATGATTCTGGCAACAGGGTGAGACATATTGGGGTTGGGTGGGCTGAGCCTGCTTGTTGGAAGGCCATTGCTGTCATCTCAGCAGGAGCTAATGAGGCGGAGTCCTTTGTACTGGAGTCCCGTCTTTCACCATCACTGCCTCCTGTGAGTTGTGCTGTCACATAACGTTACCTGCCACTCACCACCCTGTGCAGTGCAGTGAACAGCAGGCTTATTATTATGTCATGGAAGTCAGCTGGCTCTCCGAGCTAGAAGTGGGGCTTCTGTCTGCTTTAGATTGTCCCTCCTTTCCGACCAGTGAAAGTCGTGCCTTCATCAGCCAGCAGAATTCTTAGCTGCTCCTTGTTTGTAGCATGGAGTTTGGTTCTGAGTTTCAAGGAAACCTGGTTATTTAATTATGCAAAGTAAGAACCAGATTTTTTAGAGTCTTCCTTATTTAGTAGTTCAAAAATCTATATTTTTGAAAAGGATTATTTGTGAGCCCAGAGTGGTATTTTTTTCGTAATGTACTTTTACAAAATTCCACCACACAAGTAATTGCATTGTATTATGGTAGCCACACTTATTTATAGGTGTATCTGTATTTTTAGAATTTGGTTACTTTTTATTTCCCATACCAGAGTGATGCCTGTTTAAGTTACTAAATAAATACAGCATTCCTGTCCTTTGTCTTAGGTTGGAAAGTCACCCAAGGAGAGGCTATCCAAGGAGAGGCTATGCCGGAGGGTAAGTGAAGTTGCTAAGCCCACACTTGAACTAGAACCCCCTAACACAGGGGCGAGCTCTGCCTTTCACCAGCTGATGGCATGTCGGGAGAAAAGGAAATTGGAAGGTGGGACTGTGTGCGGGGAACTGCTCTCAAGCTCTGGCCGGTCCTGATTTGCCTGTGCGGATTCTCAGAGAGCTGGGCCAGCCAGGCTCTCACGAGACGCCTGCAACTTTGCCCTGTGGACGGGAGGGGAACAAGTTGCTGCTGCTGCATGTTTGTTTGTTTTTTTTGGTTTTGTTTTTTTTAAATATATTTTTATTTATTTCAGAGAAGAAGGGAGAGGGAGAGAAACATCAATGATGAGAGAGGATCATTGATTGGCTGCCTCCTGCACACCCCCTACTGGGGATGGAGCCTGTATCTGCAACCCAGGCATATGCCCTTGACCAGAATCAAACCTGGGACCCTTCAGTCTGCAGGCCGATGCTCTAGCCACTGAGCCAAGCCAGCTAGGGCTTGCTGCATATTTTTGCTGTCGTTCAGTGAGAACTTGATCATGGAACATTGAACTTCAAATTGAAGTAGACCCGGGAGTAGCGGTTTGATCTACCTTTATGTAATAAGAACTTGTACAGAGAGAGTTAAATAACACTCCTGCCCACGGGCACTGGCTTTTACTCAAACTTTGAAACATTATTGCACATATAAGAAATACTGGGACAAACTCAGCTATTACAGACCCTCGGTCCCCCAAATCGCCATGGCTGAAGATTCTGGTACGCGCTCGAGCGCCCCTGTGACTGTAGTTCATGTCACACACACATTCTCTCTCTCTGGACATCTTAGGGATGTGAGGGATGTGCTGGTTGCTGGTTTAATAAACAGCGTGTGACTGCAGGCGCCCCTCGGCCAGGCCCTTCAAGGGCGTCAGCAGGAACGATGGTTGCGCACAGCATCGTGGGGTGTTTAGTTCACAGGCTTGAGGGTTCGAGTTTTGTTCAGAGGGTTCTGTTCAGTTCCTAAAAGGCGCTCTGAGCGAGGCCAGGCTGTTTCCTCGGAACTGTCAGGTGGGACCATAACGAAGTGGCTGTCGAATGGCTGTCCCCCGTGACTCTGGGACAGTGAGCGCCAGTGCCCCATCCGTGGTGGCGGATGACACGGTGTCTGAACCGTGCACCCGGGACACCAGCTGCTAAAAAGGAACTGTGGTACCACTTTCTTAAAGCGACTGAAATGTGCTGGTGCCGTCCGTTCAGGGTGGAAAGTCGTGTTGTTTCTCTGAGAGCAACTGGAGCAGCTTTGCTGCGGGAACTAAGTCTGTTCCTTGTTGAAACCAGGACGTGGGGATGAGCGACACGGCGATGACCTCTTTCCTGGGCTCCTGCTTGGATCTCCTGCAGACGTTATTGGAGGTAAAAGGTGTATTTTCGCTCTAAACTGTCTGAGCTGTTAATTAGTTTGAAACTCACTGGACCAACGAAAGCACTACAGAAATACTTTCATTTATTCATTTCAAAGTTTTGACTTAAGCCTAGAAATAGTGCTATTTCTTATTAGAATTGGATTTGGGGGGGTTAAAATTAGAATTTGGGGGTGGGGAGAACTGGAGGTTTGCACTTTGCTCTGGTGGGCTCTTTAAATGAGATATGTGCCAGCTCTGCCCTCACCAGTCCTGACTAGGGGTCTCCATTCTCAAACACGCAGGCGGATGTTGGCAGGGATGAGATGCAGCCGCCGGACCTGGAGACGGAGGACGCGTGGCTCGCGGTCGAAGGGCCCATCTCCATCGTGGAACTGGCCCTGGAGCAGAAGCCCATCCACTACCCGCTGGTGGAGCACCATTCCGTCCTGTGCTCCATCCTGTACGCGGTCATGCGGTTTTCTCTGAGGGCCGTGAAGCCACTGTCGCTTTTCGACAGTAAGGCAAGTACCTCAGGACCAGAGCCGCCTGGGAGCTGGGGTAGCAGGTGTGGGCGGGACCATCACGGTGGGTCCTCTCCTCCCATCACATTCCCGGGGCAGAAGGGGGGACCTGGGACAAGAGCCCGTGGCTTCCGGTTCAGCGGCCACTCTGCTCTCTTACATTTCCTTCCGAGGAACATGAACCCTGGATTCTGCTTTGGCTCTTCAGACACACATCTGCTCTCGAGCAAGGTGTTTTTAAAAGGATTCAGAGTACATACTAAGTATTAGTTATCTATTATTGCATGACAGATTATCCCAGAACCGAGTGGCTGGAGACCAGAGCTGATTACCATTTTTGTGAGCCGAGAATCTGGGTTCTCCTCTCTGGGCGTGTTTTTGGCTCAGAGTCTCTGAGTCTGCAGCAGGCAGGGGGGGGAGGGGGGGTCCAAGCTCACATGTAGGCAGGATTCAGTTCCTCCCACAGGCAGCTCGCTCGCCTCAGAGCAGGCGGCAGAGCACGCAGGGGCAGAAGCACGCAGGCCGAGGCCACAGCCCTTTTGTAACCTAATTTGGAAAGTGACCCGCTGTCATGGCTGCCCAGTTGCTTGCTAGCGGCGAGTCACCAGCCACGAGTAACTGCCAGGAGGAGGGGTCCCTGGGCGCCGCCTACCAGATAAATGTTCTTGTTGGGGGAGGAAAAACATCAACCACAAGATAGTCTTAAATGCTTTTTACCCCATACTCATGTTTTCTTGGTCTCTTCTTTCTCTTTAGGGGAAAAATGCATTTTTCAAAGACCTAACTTCAATTCAGTTACTACCCAGTGGAGAAATGGATCCAAATTTCATTTCTATACGACAACAGGTGAATTAGTTGCTGGGCTTTGTTTTTGTTTCTTGGGGAAAAGGTAGTAAAACAAAAACCCGGCTGGCCTGTGAAGGCTGACGCCTCCGCAGCCTTGTGGAGAGCTCGTTTACCTTTACGTTGTGTCGCTTCTTGACAAGTACACAACTTTCATGGAAAAGCCACTCTCACGGGTATGTCTTACGGAAACATACTAACGGAGGCCACTGTGTCTGTCTCCCTTCAAGTTCTTGCTGAAGGTTGTCAGTGCCGCTGTCCAGGCTCAGCACGCGGGCGCCAGGGAGAAGGAGGGCTCAGACCCAGCCCCAGCCGCTCCTCCTGGACAAGACCTGGTGTGGCCAGTGCTGGCCGTGGACTTGGCCCATCACCTTCAGGTTAACGAAGACGTGGTGAGGAGGCATTACGTGGGGGAGCTCTACAACTACGGAGTGGACCACCTCGGGGAAGAGGTAAGCCCCTCGGGGTGCTCACTGGGCTCAAGTGAGAAAGGGGATGGTTGGAGTCAAGAACCAGTCAAGTCTCCATAAAGCTTTTTGCTTATCCTTCTGTTAGAGCTTCTAGGCACAAAAACAGAACAGAATATGAAAATATTGCCCTAACCGGTTTGGCTCAGTGGATAGAGCATCAGCCTGCGAACTGAAAGGTCCCAGGTTCGATTCTGGTCAAGGGCATGTGCCTTGGTTGCGGGCACATCCCCAGTAGGAGGTGTGCAGGAGGCAGCTGATCGATGTTTCTCTCTCATCGATGTTTCTAACTCTCTATCCCTCTCCCTTCCTCTCTGTAAAAAACCAATAAAATATATTTTTAAAAAAATATTAAAATTCCTGCTGAATGCTGAGCAAAGTCCAGTGTGCAGGCCTGCTCTCTGCACAGGCCTAGCCGTCAGGAAAACAGGCAGAAGCTTGAAAATGACTCACAAGTCGCAGTCGTACCAAATTGGAAAACAGAAATTTGGGTTGTAAATGCCAAGTTTGATTTGGATGCTATGTTGCTTGAACAACATGGGGGTTGAGAAGCTGGCCCCACACGGTTGAAAATCTGTGTCTAACTTCTGACTCCCCAAAACTTAGCTGCCAATAGCCTAGTGTTGACTGGGAGCCTTCCCAACATCAAACAGTTGATGAACACATCCTGTGTGTTGTATGTCTTACATATTAAGCTCTTACATACAGGAAGCCAGAGGAGAGGATGTTATTTCCCATGTTGTTCAAGGGTCAGCTGTACACACGGCCACAGCTCAGAACCAGCTCTCACCCTGGCTGTCCGTGTTCCCCTCCGCAGGCCATCCTGCAGGTTCAAGACAAAGAGGTCCTTGCCTCTCAGCTGCTGGTGCTGACGGGGCAGAGGCTGGCGCACGCGCTCCTGCACACCCAGGCGAGGGAAGGCAGGGAGCTGCTGGCCCGACTGTCACCCACTCTCTGCACCTGGCTGAAAGCAATGGTGAGTGCAGTGGGAAGGAGACCGCCGGGAGGTCACCGCCTGCCTCCTCAAATACCAGTTCAGGAGAAAACCTTAATTATTAGTTTACTTCGCTCCGAAGAAAAGCGTTTTTATTCAGGTGTGTATAACTGATAGATTATTTTTGTGTCCTATTTGTAGGACCCCCAGGATCTTCAAAACACAGAAGTGCCAATTGCAACGACAGCTAAACTCGTGAATAAAGTCATTGAGCTTTTACCGGAGAACCACGGGCAGTACAGTCTAGCCTTACACCTCATCGAAGCTGTGGAAGCCATAGCCATTCCTTCTCTATGACCCGTCCACGTGTGTGACTAGCACGTGAAGTAGTGCATGGTTGTTTTATATAGTCAGAGCTGGGATTTGATGGAGGGAGTCTGTCTTTTTTTTTTTTCCTTTTGTAAAATGAATTTAAAAATATGTATATTACTTTTAAAAAGTACAGTCCTGGCTCAGTTCCACTCCTTTGGTTAATACCGAAGGTAAAATATAAACAAGTATCAATTATGGCAAAATATGAACAAATATCAATGATACTATTAACTACTCATACAGATGTTTTCCTGTTTATATCTAATTCAAGCACTTAAGTAGCTTTATTGTTAAATTTTGCTATTTAAAATCGGTTATAGTTTACAGATTATGTTCTTATTATAGGATTCTATATTTCATATGCAAATGTTATTGTTCTAAGTAAATTCCAATGGTCATGTAAATACAGTCCCATCAGTAAAATTAGAGAAACGTCCCACTCACTCTCCTTTCACAACTGTTAGAAGATGCTTTTGTTACGCGCTTAATCTCTCACGGGACTGCCACCCGGAGTCCTGGAAGCTGACAGGTTCCTTTCCCAGAGGACAGCGCCCTTGCAAAGGAGTAACACAGTCAAGGTCATCGTATCCATCAGAAGGGACATTAGCTAGAACCCCTGTTCTGGTACCAAAGGACCTGCCTGTACTTGCCAAAACTGAGAATCTGAGATGTGAGCCACACACCAAAATTAATGATAACGTAAGGTAAGGCTTGCTTTTTGCCAAGATTCAAAAGCGTATCCACATCAGGTCATTGTAAAAATGTATTATCTTGTAAAACTTATGTTTAAAAAAGGGGCAAAGATGCTAAAAATTGAAGTCTAACTTTATTTTTCTTACAAATGTTTAGAAATGTCTGCTGCGGTAATGTTCTCTGTTCTGGGGAACAGTAAGAAAATGCTTCGCGACATTACAGCTTTAGCAAACCTACCTCAGAGCTGGTTGAGAGGATAAAATACAACTAACCTTGTACCCTACAGTGCCTCGAGCAGTCCAAGTGCTGAGTAATTTGAGTAAAACCCAATTAACCCAAACTCTAAAAAGTGCTTTGAGCCCTACAGACACCAAGCATTTACACTGGTGTGTCTGGAAAGTAGCCATACCGTGCAGTCAGTGGTACCTGTCATTGTTATTCGTGGTAGCTCATTGTGATAGATGACAGAGGTCGGTGTTTCTCTTCCCTGTAAGAAGCCACTCGAGCAACTGCACAGGGCTGAGGAGTATGTGCTCAGGGGCATAAACCGTCTAAGGTGAGGGCATCCCAGTGTAAATGCTCTTGAACTACAGATCACATCCAAATAGGAACACCCCTGTCTAAAACTTAGCAACTCCCGCTCCATTGAAAACCTTGGAAAAGAGCTGTGCAGGCTGTTGGGCCTGAGGAGGCGCCGGTGCAGGGCGGCCTCTGATGGGTCTCCGCTGCCCCATCCAGACGCACTCAGATGGTTTCTTGTAGCGTAGGCAGCGTCAGTCACTTGTCAGCGTCAGTCACTTGTTACGATTAGTCGAAGACTGGTTCTTCCTGTGATCTTTCTACATATTCTGAAAGTAGTCTTGGAATTATAGGCATTTTTAAAGATTCCATATCACTTTGGGGGGAAGACGAACCTAATCAGCATTTAAGCTAATAAAACTGCTTGAGCTTATTCTGGAAGGACACACAATCACGTAGAACCGTAACAAATCGAGTCTCTAGTTAGATGTGTAACCTAAGATTCGCACCCAGAATTTTAACGTTGAGTGCTGAGTTGTACGGTTAAGAAACAGTTACACAGGTTACTATTTCATCAAGGGCTTTTAAAATAAACCTGATAGCAGGAAGACAGAGCTCTGTGCAAGCAGGCCTGCTCTCCTGCACTTCACAGACACTGAGTGTGTACAGACCGATGGCAAGACCATCAGCAGATCGGTCACAAACTGCTTAACTGCAGTGGCCTGGACTGAACCCAGGGTTGCCGAGGTCTGCCTGCACAGTCTGCAACAGGAAGGGCCACAGTCAAGGAGTGAGGTTTGACACCGAGTGGCTGCTTCTGAAACAAAGGGCTTATTGCACTTACCGCAGTTACTGATGGAAGCCAATAACCAGCAGTTTTCCTAGATACACGCCTCCCCCCGCCCCCACAGCATAAAACAGGCGTGGTGGCCTGTGTTCAGTCCCGCTGTGATGCTGAAAGAACAAGCATTCACGTGATCACAGCATCTACATCACAGGCGTGTTTAGATGTAGACTCCCAAGAGCTGGGATAAATGTAGATAAAGCGGAACAAACATCAGGCTTCTAAACGCTGCCTTTCTTTGCAAAGAAAAAAACAGAAACAACAGGCTCTTCTCCATTTCACCTTCATTATAAAAATTCATCTTAGGTCAAAGTAAACACCATTACGTTTAACTAGCTTTCTTTTTATAAAAAAAAATACACGATTAATTGCAGTTTAAAACCACAAAAATCTCAGATGTAGTAATACTAAGCTTATAGGAATATGACAGACATCCAGTTAGAAGTGGCTGTGATTCATGTAATTAAGGGAAATGTTTCTCAAGTACTGACAACAGCAGGGAAAGCCCCTCAGCCTGACAGGAGTGGATCTGCTGGACTTACAGGAGTTAGATTTGGCTGAGTAGTCAGCCATCCCTGGAAAGTGGAACCAGTGGCGAGTGGTGTGTGGAGCCCTCTGTGGCCTAGCGTCATGTGCTGTAAGTACTGGTATGTATATGCAGTTCTGTATATACCGCTATTTCCTGTCTGCTCGTTGTTGTGAATTTATGTATAATAGTGAAATAAACTTCCAGCTTTCATGTTGTTTCCTCAACATTCACAAACGTAAGTACGTACCGTTAGGGTTTTTCCCTCGTCTGTGAGAAGAACAGATTCACTGATGTTTCCGTCCCAATCCAGCCCCACAGACCAGCTCCTCTAAGAGGTGGGCGTGCGCTGGCGAGGCGGAACGCAGTGCCCTTCAAACCACTCTGCGTGCATTGCACAACTTCTGCACCAACACCACTCGCTTTCCAGAATGCCTTTATTTGTAGACATTGAGAACTGGAGTACTGAGCAGGGAGATTTGTAAAATATAAAACGTCTCCTGCTCAGCACACTTGAAGGTAAGCGGACTCGGTGCCTGTGTTCTGAGCGAGTCCATCGTGGATACCCCAGTTTCCGACTGCACATGGGATTCCTGCAGGTATATACACATGGTTTTTATCCGGTGATAGGAAAAGCTTAGCATTCTGACTCCGGCGCTCACCCTCCACTCGTTGCCTAAGCGTTTCTCCCCGGGGTTGTAAACAGTCCACCGACCCGCAGCGGTCCTGCCGGGTCGTCCTGGGAGCGTCTGTCAGCGGCAGCGCGAGGCACTACTTCCCCCCGACGACGTCGGCGCACCGGGGACAGAGCGTGTCTGAGGACTCGGCGGTGTACTTCCAGCAGCGAGGGCATTTCTCTTTGGTCGTGGGCGTGACGATCACTTTATACTCAGACTCTTCCCGGATGTCACCGCCTGTGGAGGAAACATGCGTGCTTGACGGGCCACTCACCTCGCACCGCTGTTGCCATTGGTTCTGTAGGGGCTCCTTTTTGGAGCTTTCTCCTTCCTGCCGTGGGAAAGCCTGACATACGTATGAAGCCGAGACAGAATCGCACAGCTGATGGGAATGGGAGGTTAACTGATTGCTCCCCAGCTCAACTCCGGGCTCCATACCTAACTCGGGCAGGCAGCCCTCCGGCTCCCAATCTGGGATCGTTCTGGTAAGTATGTGGCTGGAAAGGCAGTGAATTTAAGAATTTTAGAAAGAGCCACGGTAGAGAGAGCTGCAGTGTCCCCGCTTTTCCTGGTTTGGACGAAAGGACACGACACCTTCCTCCACTATGAAGACCCTCAGACGTCAGACTGGCAACTAAGTTAGTGTCTAGTCGTCGCACCAAGACCGGACGTCAGCGTCGGGGGAAGCAAGCTGAGCAGAGGCCTCACTGCGTGGTCCGTGCTGCCTAGAAGCCAGCGCGTCCTGCCGGGACCTGAGCCGTGGAGGAAGGACGGGCAGCACCCCCTTCCCGGCACGTCTGCACCTTCTCCTCTGCCGACGTCCGTCTCCACGTCCATCAGTGAGCAGGAGTGAGGCTGACAGACACCTCACTCGGGAATGGGTTCCATAGAACTTCTTCCCCTCCTGGACAGCTGAGTGCTGGTGTCATTTGGGGTCTGCCCCGGACATCTTAGAGTCAACGCGGGAAGGGTGGGCAGGGCCGGCAGCACTCAATTCCGGATATTAGAGGACAAGGGGACACAGAGGCCAAATGGGAGTGAGGGTGCTGACGGCCACTGTGTCAGGACAGAAGGAACCCCCTTCCGCCCCTGGCACTGCGTCCCCAAGCTCGTCGGGTGGGACACTGTCCAGAGCTGTTGAGGAACCAGCCAGTCCCCATGGGAGGTGCCTTCAGAGCACAGGCGCCACTGGACGCCAGTCCGTGCTCCAGGTCCCGCTCGTCCTCCCTCCTCCCTCCTCACCTTCCAGGTTGATCAGGAACGTCCCTCGAAGCTCGGTGGCATCCGAAGGCATGGCGGGCGGGTCCTGGGGGAGGAGCGTGGTCTGGGAAGCCATCATGAGCTCGTTCAGCTGGGAGGTGCTGGACGTCTCCTCCGCCTGCAGCATCTGGCAGTGAGCACGGGAGAGTCACTGAGCTCGGTGTCATGTAAGCTGAGGACGGACACTGCGTGTTCGTGAGAAACCTGTACTGCTGCCCCCTGACACTACTCCACTAAAACACGTCAGTCCTTACTAGTGTGAAAGGTTGGAACGGAAACGTCCAATCAAACGGGGATGCAGGCTCCAAGAGTCCAGCTCTCAGCCCCTCGGGTGCCACCCTGCATCGTGCTGCTGCCCGTAGGCGCGGGGTTAGGGCACCACCTGACACTAACTGGGGTGAATGATGCCCACGTCACGTTTTTCATTGTGATTTTGATCTTCAAAATGCCCGTGAGCTAACGGACACTCCTTTTAAAAAGCTCATGAGAAAACAGGAGATTCAAAGAGATTAATTTGGTTTTAACAAATCATGTGGTTAGTAATTGACAGAACCAGGACTTAATCTGACAGCTCTTAGTGTAATTCCCAAGGAAAATATAGTCACGTTTTTTCCAATATAAATGATCCAAACCAGCTGTATTTTCAGCTTATCACTCAGAGCTACTGAATCAAAGGACACATGACACGTAGGGACAAACCCAGTCCGACTGTGGCCGCGGCCGGGTCAGCATCAGCAGCCCCATCTCCTCACTCGTAAAATGAAGGAGCCAGAACTTCCCAACCATAGAATGTGGGTCTATTCTCAATTCTCTATTCTGACTGACAAGCTCATCTACTAGCGACTTCAAGCCTCAGTTCTTGATCAAGTACAACTTAAAAAATTCAAACTGAGCTTACCAACCATATAAGATGGTCATTTTTTAGAAAACTGGACAGAACTTTGGAGATAAAAATAGGGTAAATGTTCTGAGATCACATGAGAATCTGCTGGAACAAATGATCTTTTTCCCAGAATTCAAGAAAAAAATGGAAATCTTGTTTGCTTTTTAAGAACCCAAATCTTGTTTTGGATTTGTTTTGAATCTGATCCACGTTAACACAAAACTCCGATTTTTGTGTATTCTTATGCCACTGCCCTGAATTTACATGTCATGTCATCTCAATAGCCCTGAGGGCTTGCATTTCAAGTGAAAATACCTTCCCTGTCCCAATATACAGATTTTTAAAAAACAAATTTCCAGTGAAACTGTGATCCTAACAGCATTTCAAAAGCTGGTGCTCGGCTGCATTCTT